ATATATATATATATATGTATGTATGTATATATATATATGTATATATGTATATATGTAAATATGTATATATGTATATATGTACATATGTATATATGTATATATGTATATATATATGTATATATGTATATATGTATATATGTATATATGTATATATGTATATATGATGTATGTGTATGTATGTATAATATATATATATATAGTATGTATGTGTATATATGTATGTATATATATATATGTAATATATATATATATATAATATAGATAAATATATAATATACACATGGTCAGGCGTCTGGCGTTCCCGCCCCCCCCCCCCCCCCCCCCCCCCCCCCCCCCCCCCCCCCCCCCCCCCCCCCCCCATGGTATGGTCTGGTAGGGTGGGTGGGGGGGCGCAGGGGTCACACGCAAGCCCTACGCAAGTTTATAAGCCCCATAACGTGGCGCATGCTTCTTGGGCCCTGCACCCAACCCTAAACCCCGCCTAAACGCAGGCTCTAAGCCTAAAGCAGAACATGAACCGTCAACCATTACGAGCCTAGGATCGACCTATATCAGGACCATTGACCCTCAGGGGGGGGAGGGGGGTGGCCGTGGAGCGCGTGACCATATGTGGTCAGGCGTCTGGCGTTCCCAGCCACCCCCCCCCCCAATGGTATGGTCTGATAGGGGTGGGGGGGCGGGGCCTGGCGTGTGCGGGAGCATACACCGCAAATCCTCCCTAAGCCCTTGTCGACTCGAAGCCTCATACCTTGTAACCGTAAACCCAAAACTCAAAAGCTTAAGCTAAACCCAAAACCCCAAAACCCCACAACCAGCCCACAGGGGGAAGAGGAACCCCACACCCCACACCACAGGGGGGGCCCCACCCTATATCCGGACCATTGACCTTTGGGGGGGGGAGGGGCTGCGGAGCGCGTGACCATATACATATATATATATATATGTATGAGTATGTATGTATAGAGCCTTGCTTGCATTGATCACGACACGGGCCTCGTTTGGCATTGGGGTTCGGTCTTGATTGTTGTGTACAGACGACAAGATTTGGAGCGATCAACTCAAAGCCTGTGTTCTGAATCACGATGGGGCGATGACCAGCAGACGTATTCCCCGTGCTAAGCTTGACAATGTCTGCTCTGAAGGCTGGGAGAAACTGGAGCGTCACGAGCTGACCCAGGAACTTTCAAAGGTCTCCTTGAGAAAATTACGACTCAGGGGTCCCCTTTGCTGGAGTGTTGGCTGATCATGCGCTGTTTGCTTGCCAGTGGGAGCGTCCTGCTGGGCAACGAAACTCTAATGTGCCGGGCTTATATTGTCTGAAAAGCTCATTGTTTGCAGCAGCCACTCAGCGCTCTTGCCGATTGAGAGGTGTGTTTGACCTTAGAAGACAAGATAGCCATGGAGCTCACGCCGAAGGTTCCGGAGAGCTTGCGTTCAGGATGGAGGCCGAAAGTAAGAAACAGATGTCATTCTTGCCAGGCGGTTCGGCTAACGTTCGTGGAGAACGAGCTCCGGGCGAGAAGATACTTCTTGTTCCCTTGTCAAGCTTGTAAGCAGTTTTTAAGCTTCGTGAGTTAAGAAGTTGAGGTGGGCAGAGGGCAGAGTATGGCGTCGGCTGCTCCCAGGTTGCCTGCCATAGCGAACTGGGAGCAGGAGTGTGTCAAGTGGAACGAAGAGTACGCTGCGTGCGGCACCGAGCCGTAGCTCCAGTTTCGAAGTGCCTCAACCTGTGGGACGCCGGTCAGGCGCTTGGAGACGAAGCGAGCATATCAAGCGCACAGCTCTCAGGGCTTTTGGGAGCTTCGTTACTACTGGAAGACGTCTGACTTGTGGTAAGGTTGGGACAGGAAGAAGGGTCTGCCCCGCCTGGCCGTTGCAGCGTGTTGGCCGCCTCACTCCAGACTCGGCCAGGTTTATGGAAAAGCCAGAGCATGCCTTTTCCTTTCCTCCGAGCCGACCAATGCACTTGCCACCTGCACACCCTCTGGGTGAGGCACGCTGAATGCTGACAGTCGGCGGGGCTGCTGGACGGAGCCAGTACCGGTTTATCAAGTGCCCTTACAGGCTGCCAGGGGTGCTATTTGCTCCCTTGGCTGTCCCGGAAGAAAAGGTGACGAGGCCAACCCTGAAGGGCAGCGACTCCGCTGCTTTCGTTTGTCTCCGTTTGCAGGAGATCCTGGACATGTGGCGGAGGTGCCGGCAAGACCCCACTGGCTGGAAGAAAGTTCCAAGGCTGCTGGAGACCCGTCACAGAGCTTTGTCCACACCACGCCGTAGCCAGGACAGGGATGAAGGATTTCGTCATCAAGAAGACGAAAACCGATCGTAGTCAAGCCGAGGTCCGCTGTTGAAGTTAAAAGCATGGTTGCTAATTACTAATTCACGGAAGCAGGATGCTTCTCAGAGTGTGCCTTAAGAGACAACATGCAGGAGAAGATCTTGTCGCACACCGGGCTGGTTTGGCTTGCAAGCTCGCATATTTGATCTTGCAGTCTCATCAGCTCATGCAAGAAGAACCACGTTCCGTTTGCTCCAGTCAACAAGCCAGTTGCCGGTCGCCGGTCATAGTTACTACACCGTTCAGTCGGCCGTAACGCCGCAGCGTTCTTTCGAAGACTTTGCATGAGCAGCACAAAAACTGCAACCTCGCGAAAGCATCATTGCTAATATTACTAATTTTAACGCTACGCCGCCCGCCTCGGCTCTGTAGTGGCAGGGCGAGGGTCCCGGCGGGGCGGGAAGGGGGGGGAGGGGGGGGACGGGGGGGTGGAGGAAAAAAAGAGGGGGGAGGAGGCTTGGGAGGGGCCGGGTAGGCCCGCAAATCAAAGAAAATGAGGGGAGGCCGGGCAAGGGGGTGGCAAACGAGCGCAAAAACAGGGTGTCACCAAACATTTGGGCTGCAGGGACAAAAAAAGACTCGAAGTGAGAGTGCATGCTGGTCGCTGCATTGTCTTTGTTTTCCTGCAAACCAGTTAAGGCCTTCCAGCCATGCCGCCCGGAGCAAGAAAAAACAACACAGACAGAGCCTGAAAAGAAAGACAGGCAGTGGATTGACGACGCAAAAGCGGCGAGGAAGACGAGGGGGGACGGGGGTGGAGGAAAAAAAGAGGGTGGAGGAGGCCTGGGAGGGGGCGGGTCGGCCCGCAAATCAAAGAAAATGAGGGGAGGCCGGGCAAGGGGGTGGCAAACGAGCGCAAAAACAGGGTGTCACCAAACATTTGGGCTGCAGGGAGGAGGATTAGGTGGAGGGTACCTGAGGTAACCACCAAAACGCCTGGGCCTGTGGCCTCGGCGGATATTGCATCCATTGCAAATGGAAGCCGGAAATATTAGAAGTATCGGTATCATGTGTATGACTGCGGTGGTAACCTTAGTGCAGACTGTTCGTTGAATGCCAGGCTTGACGAGTTGCTTGAAAACGACAAGGCAGCGCTCTTCGTTACCAAAGGGGCTTATGCTTTTGCGCAACATTGCCGAGGACAAGGACTTCGGTGACGCACCTGATGCAGAAGCGCGACTTGGCTTTATCCCAGCAATTCGGCGTGTCGTGTAAGCAAGCTGGAATAGTTACATTCGATTTTGCGTGTTTCTGCGAGCAGCCAGGAGGAGTTACGGCGTGGATGATTCATTGATGCCAGGCTTGCTGTGCGGTAGGGTATCTGCAAGTAGCCTACTGCATGCTTGGAATGCACAACATGAATGCACCTGTGCAGCCGTCTTGCAGGTGGCCAGCCGCCGTCAGAGAGCGAACCATGCCCAGTTTCGCTTCCCTGCTGAAGCTATGTGCTACGACTGCGACGGGCTGTCGTAGAAAGACAGCCAGTCGACCATTTCCTTACCAGTCAGATTGGGTTTTGTAAGTGCCTTCATTCTGTGAGCATAAGTATGATGGTTTGGCTTTACTGGAGCTGTTGCCAAAGGCACTGCTCCAGATAGACCTTCAGCTTTCTAGCGGAAAGCCGAGACAAGGCCTCCGCGATGGCAAGGTTATTGGTGTCACAACTGCGCTGGCGTCAGTTCGAAGAACTTGCCGGCTGGACATTCGGATGATCCCAGCTGGTCAAAGCCGTTAAATCCATGCATTCATATTGTGATGCAAAAGTGAAAGCTGCAGCACGGTGGTTGAGACTTTCTGCGGTCATCGTGGTTTCGTGTTATTTTGGTAGGTGGTCAGACAGGCTTGGCTTGCACGTAGCTTGGACAGAGGGCTGCCAGTATGCTGCGTCGAGGCAGCCGGGTTTAGGGTTTCTGGACGAGTTGTGCATGGTCAAGCATTGCCCAAGGCACAGCGAGTGCCTGCAGTGTTGAGGTTGTGCGTAGACCATGGTTATCGGACCAGCGTGGACAAGAGGAGAGATGGAAAAGCCGGCAGGCACAAAGGACATGGGTAGCTGGACTGCCGCAGCTCCAACCTGAGCATTTGCTGACAGCAAATCTCACATGTGCATAAAACTGACTGATTTGGTGAGCGGTTTTCTCGTCCTTCACGAGGTGTACACCCCAGAGCAGCAGGCCCGCCTAGGCCAGGGGTATGTTTTCGTTTAATCGCAAGCAAGGTGAGGCCAGAATGTACCAGAATCTACTTAGTTTCATGCTATACAAGGGCACACTGGCATCCAGCGTATCCTTTGTGGCTGTGTTGTTCTGCTCCAGGATATTCACATTCAGGCAAAGTGATGGCCGAAAGCAAGCTTCAACTTCAAGGATCAGCATGGCAGTAGTGACAATATGTCGAGGAAAAGTCCAGAGCCGATTCTCAATCCGGCAAAAATCGACATGCACACAACTGTTGCTTCCCGCGTTTAGCTACTGGCACAGGTGTGGACGAGTCCGGCAAGCCGAAGGTGAGCGACTGCGGCAGTTGAAAGATCTGTTTGCAAAGCTGGGTGTTCAGCGCCCGTTCGTCTGCAATTCACAGGCTGCAGCTCCGGTGGCTTCGCCAGTCGGAGTGCCGAAGGTCCGCGTGCGGATAGACCTTAACCACAGCAACTGGCTCCGCGATGACACCCGAGGTCGGGGCCATTGGTCCGGCTTGGACCAGAGGAGAAATTGAGAAGCCGGCCGGTACCAAGGACATGGGTGGCTGGACTGCAGGAGCCGCGACCTCAGCTTCCCCCTTGAATCGATGCTGCTTGATCTCCTTCCTGTCTCCTTCTGGCCATCAGGTGTACACGGCAGAGCAGCAAGCTCGCCTAGGCCCTCGGGGTTCTTGGGCAATCGTGTAATGGAAAGTTTGGTTAGTAGAGAAACCAGCATGATTTGGTTAAGCTTGTTTGCAGCTTTCAGTCCTGCGCCGTTGTTGTGCATTGTTTTTGAGCAGAGGGTGTGCGGCATGTGAGGAAAGGCCTGTTAGTCGGTTTTTATTCATGGTGGTCTAGTGTCCTCAAAGTAGCGATCGTCGCCACGGTGCATGACGAATGCGCGGGGTTTGCTCGAACCCGCACAATCCAGACTTATTCGACTTATCATGCCTCGGCGAAATTCACTAAGAGAGAAGCCAGAAAGTTTTTGAGCGCTTAGATATTCCTGCTTTCCTCGCCGGCATGAGTAGTCGCTGGCCTGATGAGCAAACTACTTTGTAGATAACATTTCTACCCCTAAAGGCCTTGAGATCTTCAACCATCCTCATCCTAAACGTTGGAGACGGCCAGTCCTGGCACGACATCCAAGTTCTGTCACGGCTCCCGAGCTACCAAGTCTACACCTTGCGTGAATCTGCCGGGCTAAGAATTCTCAAGGGTGCTAATAGGCTCAGCCGAAACATGCCGAAACGAAGCGGAAAGGCCAGAGCAAGCTTCCTTTCAAGAAAGTCCCAAAGTCTTCACAGCACCCTCCCTGAGTCTTCGTGCCGCCTGGCGCAGGTGTGGACGAGTCCGGCAAGCCGAAGGTGAGCGACTGCGGCAGTTGAAAGATCTGTTTGCAAAGCTGGGTGTTCAGCGCCCGTTCGTCTGCAATTCACAGGCTGCAGCTCCGGTGGCTTCGCCAGTCGGAGTGCCGAAGGTCCGCGTGCAGATAGAACTTAACCGCAGCAACTGGCTCCGCGATGACACCCGAGGTCGGGGCCATTGGTCCGGCTTGGACCAGAGGAGAAATTGAGAAGCCGGCCGGTACCAAGGACATGGGTGGCTGGACTGCAGGAGCCGCGACCTCAGCTTCCCCCTTGAATCGATGCTGCTTGATCTCCTTCCTGTCTCCTTCTGGCCATCAGGTGTACACGGCAGAGCAGCAAGCTCGCCTAGGCCCTCGGGGTTCTTGGGCAATCGTGTAATGGAAAGTTTGGTTAGGAGAAAAACCAGCATGATTTGGTTAAGCTTGTTTGCAGCTTTCAGTCCTGCGCCGTTGTTGTGCATTGTTTTTGAGCAGAGGGTGTGCGGCATGTGAGGAAAGGCCTGTTAGTCGGTTTTTATTCATGGTGGTCTAGTGTCCTCAAAGTAGCGATCGTCGCCACGGTGCATGACGAATGCGCGGGGTTTGCTCGAACCCGCACAATCCAGACTTATTCGACTTATCATGCCTCGACGAAATTCACTAAGAGAGAAGCCAGAAAGTTTTTGAGCGCTTAGATATTCCTGCTTTCCTCGCCGGCATGAGTAGTCGCTGGCCTGATGAGCAAACTACTTCGTAGATAACATTTCTACCTAAAGGCCTTGAGATCTTCAACCATCCTCATCCTAAACGTTGTAGACGGCCAGTCCTGGCACGACATCCAAGTTCTGTCACGGCTCCGGAGCTACCAAGTCTACACCTTGCGTGAATCTGCCGGGCTAAGAATTCTCAAGGGTGCTAATAGGCTCAGCCGAAACATGCCAAAACGAAGCGGACGGCCCAGAGCAAGCTTTCAAGTAAGTCCCAAAGTCTTCACAGCACCCTCCCTGAGTCTTCATGCCGCCTGGCGCAGGTGTGGACGAGTCCGGCAAGCCGAAGGTGAGCGACTGCGGCAGTTGAAAGATCTGTTTGCAAAGCTGGGTGTTCAGCGCCCGTTCGTCTGCAATTCACAGGCTGCAGCTCCGGTGGCTTCGCCAGTCGGAGTGCCGAAGGTCCGCGTGCAGATAGAACTTAACCGCAGCAACTGGCTCCGCGATGACACCCGAGGTCGGGGCCATTGGTCCGGCTTGGACCAGAGGAGAAATTGAGAAGCCGGCCGGTACCAAGGACATGGGTGGCTGGACTGCAGGAGCCGCGACCTCAGCTTCCCCCTTGAATCGATGCTGCTTGATCTCCTTCCTGTCTCCTTCTGGCCATCAGGTGTACACGGCAGAGCAGCAAGCTCGCCTAGGCCCTCGGGGTTCTTGGGCAATCGTGTAATGGAATGTTTGGTTGGTGGAGAAACCAGCATGAGTTGGTTAAGCTTGTTTGCAGCTTTCAGTCCTGCGCCGTTGTTGTGCATTGTTTTTGAGCAGAGGGTGTGCGGCATGTGAGGAAAGGCCTGTTAGTCGGTTCTTATTCATGGTGGTCTAGTGTCCTCAAAGTAGCGATCGTCGCCACGGTGCATGACGAATGCGCGGGGTTTGCTCGAACCCGCACAATCCAGACTTATTCGACTTATCATGCCTCGGCGAAATTCACTAAGAGAGAAGCCAGAAAGTTTTTGAGCGCTTAGATATTCCTGCTTTCCTCGCCGGCATGAGTAGTCGCTGGCCTGATGAGCAAACTACTTTGTAGATAACATTTCTACCCCTAAAGGCCTTGAGATCTTCAACCATCCTCATCCTAAACGTTGGAGACGGCCAGTCCTGGCACGACATCCAAGTTCTGTCACGGCTCCCGAGCTACCAAGTCTACACCTTGCGTGAATCTGCCGGGCTAAGAATTCTCAAGGGTGCTAATAGGCTCAGCCGAAACATGCCGAAACGAAGCGGAAAGGCCAGAGCAAGCTTCCTTTCAAGAAAGTCCCAAAGTCTTCACAGCACCCTCCCTGAGTCTTCGTGCCGCCTGGCGCAGGTGTGGACGAGTCCGGCAAGCCGAAGGTGAGCGACTGCGGCAGTTGAAAGATCTGTTTGCAAAGCTGGGTGTTCAGCGCCCGTTCGTCTGCAATTCACAGGCTGCAGCTCCGGTGGCTTCGCCAGTCGGAGTGCCGAAGGTCCGCGTGCAGATAGAACTTAACCGCAGCAACTGGCTCCGCGATGACACCCGAGGTCGGGGCCATTGGTCCGGCTTGGACCAGAGGAGAAATTGAGAAGCCGGCCGGTACCAAGGACATGGGTGGCTGGACTGCAGGGGCCGCGACCTCAGCTTCCCCCTTGAATCGATGCTGCTTGATCTCCTTCCTGTCTCCTTCTGGCCATCAGGTGTACACGGCAGAGCAGCAAGCTCGCCTAGGCCCTCGGGGTTCTTGGGCAATCGTGTAATGGAAAGTTTGGTTGGTGGAGAAACCAGCATGAGTTGGTTAAGCTTGTTTGCAGCTTTCAGTCCTGCGCCGTTGTTGTGCATTGTTTTTGAGCAGAGGGTGTGCGGCATGTGAGGAAAGGCCTGTTAGTCGGTTCTTATTCATGGTGGTCTAGTGTCCTCAAAGTAGCGATCGTCGCCACGGTGCATGACGAATGCGCGGGGTTTGCTCGAACCCGCACAATCCAGACTTATTCGACTTATCATGCCTCGGCGAAATTCACTAAGAGAGAAGCCAGAAAGTTTTTGAGCGCTTAGATATTCCTGCTTTCCTCGCCGGCATGAGTAGTCGCTGGCCTGATGAGCAAACTACTTCGTAGATAACATTTCTACCTAAAGGCCTTGAGATCTTCAACCATCCTCATCCTAAACGTCGGAGACGGCCAGTCCTGGCACGACATCCAAGTTCTGTCACGGCTCCGGAGCTACCAAGTCTACACCTTGCGTGAATCTGCCGGGCTAAGAATTCTCAAGGGTGCTAATAGGCTCAGCCGAAACATGCCGAAACGAAGCGGAAAGGCCAGAGCAAGCTTCCTTTCAAGAAAGTCCCAAAGTCTTCACAGCACCCTCCCTGAGTCTTCATGCCGATTGGCGCAGGCGTGGACGAGTCCGGCAAGCCGAAGGTGAGCGACTGCGGCAGTTGAAAGATCTGTTTGCAAAGCTGGGTGTTCAGCGCCCGTTCGGCTGCAATTCACAGGCTGCAGCTCCGGTGGCTTCGCCAGTCGGAGTGCCGAAGGTCCGCGTGCAGATAGAACTTAACCGCAGCAACTGGCTCCGCGATGACACCCGAGGTCGGGGCCATTGGTCCGGCTTGGACCAGAGGAGAAATTGAGAAGCCGGCCGGTACCAAGGACATGGGTGGCTGGACTGCAGGAGCCGCGACCTCAGCTTCCCCCTTGAATCGATGCTGCTTGATCTCCTTCCTGTCTCCTTCTGGCCATCAGGTGTACACGGCAGAGCAGCAAGCTCGCCTAGGCCCTCGGGGTTCTTGGGCAATCGTGTAATGGAAAGTTTGGTTAGTGGAGAAACCAGCATGATTTGGTTAAGCTTGTTTGCAGCTTTCAGTCCTGCGCCGTTGTTGTGCATTGTTTTTGAGCAGAGGGTGTGCGGCATGTGAGGAAAGGCCTGTTAGTCGGTTCTTATTCATGGTGGTCTAGTGTCCTCAAAGTAGCGATCGTCGCCACGGTGCATGACGAATGCGCGGGGTTTGCTCGAACCCGCACAATCCAGACTTATTCGACTTATCATGCCTCGGCGAAATTCACTAAGAGAGAAGCCAGAAAGTTTTTGAGCGCTTAGATATTCCTGCTTTCCTCGCCGGCATGAGTAGTCGCTGGCCTGATGAGCAAACTACTTGGTAGATAACATTTCTACCTAAAGGCCTTGAGATCTTCAACCATCCTCATCCTAAACGTTGGAGACGGCCAGTCCTGGCACGACATCCAAGTTCTGTCACGGCCCCGGAGCTACCAAGTCTACACCTTGCGTGAATCTGCCGGGCTAAGAATTCTCAAGGGTGCTAATAGGCTCAGCCGAAACATGCCAAAACGAAGCGGACGGCCCAGAGCAAGCTTCCTTTCAAGAAAGTCCCAAAGTCTTCACAGCACCCTCCCTCAGTCTTCGTGCCGCCTGGCGCAGGTGTGGACGAGTCCGGCAAGCCGAAGGCTGCAGCTCCGGTTGCAAAGGCCGATACCTGAGGTTGGCCTTTGGGGGGGGGGGGCCCAGAGCTGAAATCCAATTGAGGCTGCCCTGCCACCTCCTGTTTCCTCGCCGCATGGCTCTCAATTTTCTAGATGTGGTCGAAGCAGAGCATGCCTGGTGTGTTGTTGGAAAGTTGAGGCAACCTTTGACAGCGGAGTGACTCGGCTTCCGTCGCCTTTGAGAGAAGTGCTAGCTGAATTCCGGCACGGAAGAGACCAAGGTACGTCGCCGCACTGATGAACTCAGAGCAGCTTTTCGCGGATCTGTGCACGTCCCACGCCTGGTAGAGCATCTCACGTAGTCTGCCAGGCAGAGCACGGAAAGGTTGATTTCAAGTTTCACGGATTGCTGATAAGGATCAACTTTCGTAAGTATGACACCAACAAAGACGGGCGTCTCCAGCACCGGGCTCATTATTCAGTGCGGCTGCAGATTCGCCGCGGGCCAATGCTGATGACAGCGTCATGATGCGGAGGATGAAGGAGGCTACGAAGCTCTGCCAAGACTTACACTTGAGCTGCTCGGGATGCATTCATAGTAGCGTTAAACTAGAGGACTCTGATTTCGATCGCATCTAAAGGCATGGGCATGTTCCTTGATGACGAGGACATCAAGGCTCGCTGAGAATTTGCTGCTTTGTGCCGCCCTTGGGTTGGATCCAGGCGGCCATTGAGCTCACAAAGGACTTCGCTGGAGGCAACTTCTCACGGCTTCGCAAGTTGTCTGCGTGTCATGATGAGCTGTGATGCATCCAGGAGACAAAGACTCTCTTTCTGAGGAGGCACGCATCCGAGTGAGCTCGCGGCTGGGCCTGCTCGTGCAGTCGTGCAGTGCCAGGAGTTCGCGCGCTGGTTCCGGGAGCTCCTGAAGGACCGGCGACCGGCGGGTACCTTGCAGTACATGCGCAAAGTCTCGGGCCAGGAGAGTATCACTGGCCGCATTCAGAAGGTTGCGTCAGCACCCTACGTGTGCTGAGTGCTCTTGCATTGATGCCGAGTCGGCACCGCGCTTTATTTGCAAAGGCGGACATCGCCGCCAGCACTGCTGAGTGTCACAGCTCGGGTCTCATGAAGTCTTACTTTGCATCTTCGCCATGCTTGGTGTTCTGTAGTCGTTTCGGGCACGGCGTCTTGGAGGTGAAGTCCATGGCCGGAACTGAGAGGGTCGTCGAGGCCGGGTCGACTTCATGCACGGCAGCATGCACGGCATATCGGATGAAGAGTCTCAGAATTGATTCAGCATGTGACAGACTCTCCATTATCAGTGAGGAATCATGCTTCAATAACTAGTCAAGAGCCTCTGGAGTGCCTTCACAGCCTCTGTGGCATTGCAGTTGTGACAGAGGCTGCCTCTTTGATACTGAGCTGTGCAGGTCCCGCGTGACTCTGATGTGTCAACCCTTGCAGAAGCTGCGGCTGCCGCAATGGATCTGCCCTATGCGCAGACGAGGATCTCAGTGAATGGGCAGGCCTAGTTGGACCCGCCATGGCATGTTCAAGTGGCAGCTGCCAACACCTGTAGGTTGTGCCAGACAAAACACTGCTGCAGACCCAGAAAGTTCAGCTGCAAGCCACAAATGCACACCCTGTGCTGCACAGCCGAAGTGACATTCACGACAAACTTACAACTTGCATGCTCAGCATATTAATGATGCAGTCTGCGTTTTGCTGGGTGGGGTCGTGGACTCAGGCTGTCAAGCCTCGAGTTGGATCTTTCTTCTGACCCTGAAGTTATCGCGGTCGTGATGAACAAACTCAAGGCGCAGCCTGCATATTTGCATGCAGTCATGTCTCCAGCGAGAAATGTGCAGGTCCGACGTCATGTATACAAAGCGCCCGGCACCTGTATTTTGTTAGATGTTGCTTCCAAGAGCGAGTGCCTCCTCCCTGCATCTGCAAGAGTCTCAACCAGCACTTTACCCATGATTTCGCCATGATATGGTTGTCAGATCTTGAACACTGTGAGGATCTTAGCGTTATTACATCCACCGAAACTTCAGCATGACCGCCAAGAGCAAGACTCCACAAACTCCAACATGCAGGTTAGTAACAACAGGAACCGGAACCAGAGTGGGGGTGGAGGAAATGGGAAAGGATCATCAGCAACAGCATCGCAGTTGCCATTCATCTATGCACAGCAGTTAGCGACCAACGAACACATCTTATGCATTTAGGCGGTTTCCTGAGGCGGGGTGGCGCACCCCCTCACCGTGGCTATCACCTGGTGGCCACGGATGAGGCTGTGCTTTTGATGTCAGGTTTTTGGGTTACATTCCTGTTGCACCGCCAGATCGACCTGGCTCCGAACGCCAAGATCTCAGAGCAAATGGAAGTTCTGGCCTGACTCCCAGTGGAAGCAGAGATTTATGAAAGGCCCAGACTTGCAACACTTGCGCTGTCAATTTGCAAATCTAAGTAAGGTACCCCCAGATGGAATTTCGCGACGAATGCCGGATCATTACTCGATGCAGGCTGGACTTGTACAGCTACCAGTAGCAGACATCCGGACAGTGGACACCTTTCAGGCTTTCCAGGCATCTCCAAATGAGCAAGCACCCCGGAAATGGGAAGGCGGCATGAACGAGGCCAGACCAGAGGATTCTGCAAGCAAGCCAGCGATTCTTGACAACCTACGGTTGGGGAATCAGGTAGATCTCGATCCGAGCCAGACTGCCGAAGAAATATTCGGGACCTTGCAAAATGCTGAGACCCCAGACAAGAGCTGCATGCCAGCAGCCAACAGCCACAATCGACAGATCCGGAGCGTGCTCAAGTCGCTGAGGTTGATGTTGCTGTCATGGTTCCGATGGATGGGTTTGACTGACAATAGCTTGCCGTTGTAGCCTTAGGGAGACGCTGGCGCTGTAGATGCAATGCCATGCGAATGCAAGGTAAACATCTTAGCATAGCCACGTTTGCACCGCGACGTAGGGTGGGAAACAGTGCCTGCTGCCGCAATGGTTAACTCAAGCGGACATGGAACGAACAGCTGATGCAGCCAGTCTGTTCCGCAAAGACTCAGGCTCAAAGGGGACCCGGATTTGGATGTTTGAGTAGGTTAGGCGCAGGTTGATGTCCATGTTGCGGCGAAGCCTAGTTTCTGCGCGAATCGTGGCCAACTCAGCCCAGATCCTTTCGAATCGTGGGTTCTCAACTCGGGAGTTGATCGCCATTACCGACGTGAGGAAGGGTATGATGATAAAGATCGAGGAGAAATATTGCGAGGTGAAGGAGTGGCATCCTCACAAACAGGGCCGAGGAGCGGCAGCTTACAACGTTACCTACGATGAGCTGGACACAGGCAAGGAGAGGCTGCACAAATTTACGTCCTCCGGTAAAGTCTTCAAGATAGAGCCAGACCGAGAAGAGTGCCAAGTCCTGTACACGAAAGGCTCAGGGAAGGAGGAGAAAATCGTGGTGCTGGCAGATGATGAGTACAATGAGGTGGAAGTCCCTCTTGCTCGTTTTCAGGGCCACTCCAGTGTGCCGGATGGTGCAACAGCTTTGCTCTACAAGGATGACGGCGAAATCATAAAAATCATCGTGAAGCAGTAGGTGCCGTGAGCTAGCAATTTTCAGATATGGTCTCCAACCATCCCGAAGACACAGCGCTGTGCAACGGGATCGGCAAAATGGGGCCGCGGTGTTGCGAGGTTGTCATGCAACTGCATTGCAAGCCCAGAGCCCGGCAGAGTTTCTCCAACTTAGCAAGACTTTCTGGATAAGGAGCCATGTGCAAGTTGGGATCCTAGGGCTCAGCGAGGTCTGAGGTGTGTCTGTTGAACTCCAGGGAGTTTCGGTGCCATGGCTGGCCTGGTCCCCGAGGAGCAAAGTGAAGATGCAGGAGCAAAGCGACCCGAAGAGTCTTCCCAAAGATTCTAGATCTCTCGAGCAAGCTTTCAGAAAGCACAGCTGCTGCAGCTCCAGGCATTTTCCAGAAGCTTTTCGCTCTCATTGACTCAGGGAAAGAGGCTGGCAGCGAGGGATCAGACAGGGGTGCTTGACAGTGACATTTTTGCAAAACAGGCTGATGTTCTCGCAAGCCTCGATCAACATTTTGGAGGCAATCCCAACGTTGCGGATGAAGCAGCCGGAACAACGCCCTTGCTGGTTGCAACAAGGGAAGGCAAAACGGAGATCGTCCAAGCATTGATGGGCAAGAGAGCAGATCTGATGATGGCGGATCTGGATGGCGACAACCCACTGATGGTTGCTATCTCCCAGGGGCACAATCACATCGTGCCTTGCCTGCTCCTATCTCCTTCGCCTTCAGTCTCATCCAGCGGGTGACTCGTCGACTGAGGTGAAGAGCTTTCTGCATGCAGATCGAGGCTTGCTCAACAGCTTGCATGACCCGCTGCGACTGGTGCTTCTCCAAGAAACCCACTAGGATCACAATCTCAGCCGTCTCGCCTGCTTCTCCAGTCCCGGAACTGTTGGAACTATCCACTCTTCAACTTCTGAATCATTGCTTCGGAGGCGTCGACGTGGATGTGCCGAACAAGATTGGCCAAACTCCGTTGATGAAAGTCGGCTGCCCAGAACTTGATGGCGATGCTTGAGCCGAGACTTGAGCCCCTGGGCCCTGGGCAGGCTGCGAACAAGGCCAATGTCGAGTGTGCTGGGGGCTGATGTGTCTGGAGAGGCTTTGTCAATGTGTGTGGCTTGGGGCTTCCTTTCTGAGCCCGTTTAGGTCAAGATGCTGCTTGAGTGTAGAAGCAATCCAAACGCAAAGCGAGGTCCCCGGATGTCCAGCACACTCACAGACACATTGGATGCGAATGCCCAGTTCTGCTGAGCTGAGGACCAAGTTTGGCAAGACGGCACTCATGCAGGCTGCCGAGAAGAACAGCCTGGAATCTGTAAGGGCACTGCTGATGCTTGACTGCAGCTGCGGCTTTGGCTACCAGGGCTTGAGTCGACTTGCCACGGCGGACTGCGCTTTCAGGAGTGCTGGCGCAGACATTGCCATGGCGGACGACAGGGGCTTCACTGCATTGAGTCTTGCTGTTAAGCGCATTCTCTTGTGGCAGATTGTGGTACCAGTAAGGGTTATATGAGATGGACACAAACTGCTTGAGCTTTGAACTTCGAACCATCCTCGCTGCAGGTTCCCGGCGGCTTTCCGCTGCGAAGTGCCCATGTTGGAGCTGCTGCTGTCTTCGAAAGCAGACGTCGCCACAAAAGCAAAGCCTGGAACGGCGCTCATGATGGTGCGCCCTGCACCACTACATTATATATATATATATATATATACGTAGAGAGATGTGTGTGCGTGTTAGTTATATATGTAGTTGTATATATATATATATAAACATACATACATAGAGAGATCGCAGATGGCCCTTGCAGTCTCAGTATTTTCGAGGCGGTGGAGTCGCCTTCTTTCAAGCCGGATGCCATAACCCTGCTTCTGAAACACGGCTGCCCTCTTGACGAAGTGGCTTCGGATGGGGACACTGCCCGCAACTGAGATTGCATGTTGCTTGCTGTTCACGACTGACAGCTGGTATTCAAGCCGTGCCAGGCCTTGATGAAGGCGGTCGAGGAAGCCAATGCAAGACCCTTAGCGAGATGTTGCAGCATGTAATGTCGCACACAGCTTGTTCTTGCGACGGGTCGCACAGGCTCTTTTCGGGTTTGGGTGTTTTACCAGGAGGTTCCTCCACAGGCTCGCCGGCTTGTGCGGTGCAGTAGCAAGCAGTATCGGGTGAATGCATGCTGTGAACTCTAAGTGTCCTGAATCGATGGTAGCACATTGACGACACATGCAACTCAAGCGAGTGATATCGTCGCAGCTCGTCTCATGCGTGACAGCACACCACGTCGCCTAGTGGACGGGCGTGGTCCCGGTGCCACGTCGCCTAAGCGCATCTTCCGCTCGGCACCACGGAGTGTTTCTCGTGCGGGGGACAGCTCGGCCAAGGCAAATGCATCTTTTGAGTGCTGTGCATGCCATGCCGATCATGTCAGTTGCCTGGGTGAAATTCGTTTGTAAGGTGGATGCTGTGGCAGCACTAGTTGCAGCCGGAGCGGACACAACGAAAACGAACGAGGAGCTCTGAGATCATGAGGGAGAAAGGTGAGCGTGCCTTCTGGCATAAGGCAGACACGGTGCTCTGCTTCGAAGATGCTCCAGATGCCATGCCAGGAGGGAAAGACAGCCCTCGATTTGGCGAAACAGCGAGGCTTCAAAGCCTGCCAGGAGCCATTTGGACCTGATGAACGTTTGTTTGTATGTGTAGTGTATGTACTTATATAAATAAGTATTTCTATATATATATATATATATATATATATACAGTTTTATGCATTATGTATGTAGGAGTACAACATACATATACATGTATATTTAGAAAAGTATATATGTACCAGCCTTTTGTATATGTACATTCATTGCTGCCGACCTACCTACCCCGGCCGCGGGTGCTATTATTGATACTACTACTACTACTACGACGACGACTACTACTACTGCTACTACTACTACTACTACCACGACGACTACTACTACCACTACTACTACTACTGCTGCTGCTACTACTACTACTACTCCTACTACTACACTACTACTACTACTTCTACTACCACTGCTACTACTACTACTACTACTACTACTACTACTACCAATAGTACTACTACTACTACTACCACCACCACGACGACTACCACTACCACTACCACTACCACTACCACTACCACTACCACTACCACTACCACTACCACTACCACTACCACTACAACTACCACTACTACTGCTCCTGCGACTGCAACTACTACTAGTACTGCTACTACGCCTACTACGACGACGGAGTCTAGCACTAATACTAGTGGTGTTGGTATTGGTGCTAGTACTTTTACGTACTAGCAGTACGAGTGCGAGTACTGCTGCTATGTCTGCTTGTGTGCATGCATGTATGTATGTGTGCGTAGGTAGGTAGGTATGAGGGTGTGCGTTTGCGCAGGTTGGCAGGTCGGTGGATACGTCGGTAGGTATGCATGGCTGTGCATGTGTGTGTGTATATATATACACACACACACACTTGTACTTACATGCATATCCGTTACAGCGATAGTGTCAACACCTGATTTCGGAGCGACTCGTTTCTCTTTCAGCCTGATCCAGCGAGCTAAGGCTGTTGGCCGCAGCGCCTTCGTGAACGCTTGGCTGAAGACGTTTCGCATCCCCAGTGGTCCTGCAAAGTGTTTTTGTGTTTTTCATTTCGGTCATGCGCGGCGTCGGACGTAGCGAGAACATCGCTGGTGTGGCTGCTGAAGCTCTGCTGCGCCTTGCGTTGGCTCTAGGGATGACCATGGAGTGTTTCGGTTTTTCAGATGTAGTTCAAACGACTAGTATGCACTTGGTCGGATCATGCCAGACCTGCACACAAAACTCCCTTGACATCACACAACACAGTGCCGGATACTATGTCCGTCCATACAGGGCGAGGTCCCAACAACCAGACACCAGTCAGACACGAGCATTCTCGAAAAGCTACCAGTTGAATTCACCAGTTGTATACGACCTTTTCGACATGAATCGGTCCTGCACCCCAGCATGAGGTGTGAATGCAGTTTGGTGGTTCGGCTTGTGCTTGATGAGTCTCAGGTCAGATGCAAAGCACAAGCGAATGCAAGTGATGCTTGAGAACTCAGCCACTTACTCTGCCGCGTTCTCAGTTCGGGCTGCGCCGGCGCCTAGATTCGAGAGGAAACGGACCTGCGAAGCGACCGGACTTCCAGCATCCTGAGAGCTCTCAGGATGTCGAATTCCAGGTTGGCCCCGACGGCGAGAGCTTCTTTGGCTTGAAGGCCTGGCCTTGGGCATCACGATTTCTGATCCGTCGACATGTGTTCGCCGCTGCAAGGCCATCTACGCTCGAGCTTCCGAGGTCTTCTCGAAAATGTTTTTTGAGGCAGGGTTTCGTGAACAGCACGAAACCTCTCCGCGCGTGGTGGTGGCTTTCTCAGCTGAACCATGACATCGTGCCTAGGGCAATAACTAGAATTCGAGTGCACATTTGAGGTCAAAGTTGAAGACATCATGCCAACGTCATTCCGACAACTGCATCGTTGGGTGTATGCCTGATTCTCGGTATGCCACGACGAGGGTGCATGCGCAAAGCCGGCTTGGCCAACGAGAAAAAGTGGCAGGACATGGATGTGACTCTGACTTGGGATACCGTGTTTGGTATCCTTGATGCTGCTCGCAAGTACATGGTTGAGGACTACCGTGCTCACTTGCAAGCATTTCAGCAGAGACTTCTGTCTTGGAGGACCTGGAGTTGCAGTGTAGGCGCTGGGTGGCCTTGGAGGCCAGAGAAGCAGCGGGGGCGGTTGGTCCGCGCCTCAGAGGTCCTCTGCTTTTCAGGGAGGTGTGTGCACGTGTGTGTTTGTGGCATAGCGCGCGGTTTCTGGGTGAGGCCTTTTCTCTGCTGCAGCAGCTGGGCAGCGGGAATCCCGGTTGTTTGGAAGCTTCTGCCAGTTATGGGAGCTGGTCGGAGTTTGAGCCTGCAGGTGGTTTCAATGGTCGCAAGCGCTGCGCAGCCGTGTGGCCCACCTGCACGGTAGCAGCTGCTGTTCAGGGTCTTTCGTGCAAAGTCCTTCAGGTGGAGTCGTTTGGAGCAGCCGCGCTGGCGGCGTGCCCAGAGGTGCGCATGGTGTGCCACGATCTCGGGTCTGGGGTGCTGCTGATGGCCAGGCCACACGGCAGCTGCCCACTGACACTTTCATGACACTCCTCACAAGCGAGGACATCTCGCGGCAATTGTTGGTCGTCAGTGGTGCTGTCGCCTGCTTGTTGTTGCAAGCAACAGCGACAGGATTTGTGTGTGGAGAAGGAGGAGGAGGTTTTCGAGGCCGTTCAGGCAACCACCAGGTCTTGTGCAAGTGAGTCCTCGGTTTTGCTATGAGTGCCCAAGGGCCTACACTCTAAACTCAAGATCGAGAGGCCTGGGCCGCTGCTGCAAACGAGCGCGGCGAGGAGCTGCAATGTGCCTTTGGATGAAAGCCTCCGTGTTGTCCTCGCAGGATCCGGCAGCAGTCTGGCAGAAGATGGCCGAATCCGATGTCATTCATTTCCCTCTATTGGACGTAAAGCCGGGACCCATGGCCACAGTAAAGGAATCCAAGACAAGAGTGTTTGCTGATCCATGAGTCTACGTTACGCCTGCCGTTCGGACACACCCAGTGGGTATCGCCATAGGTTTTTCGCGGAGAACGTCGTTCTGCCGTGGACTTATGGTCGCACAGTGGCTGTTGTGAACCGACCCCGCTCTCCCACAATCCAACTCCCGAGCTAACAGTCAGTGCATGACATCCCTGCACACCGGGCAGCACATTTGACATCAGTGTGCTTGGCAGATCTTGGCAGGCAAAAACGTTTGACACAGGAGCAAGGGCTTGCATGCGACGGAGAGCGGCATACCATGGCCGGTCAGTGGCTTTGCAGGAGCAAAGCCTAGTGGTCTTCGTCTCCAAAGCCATGGGTAGCTATCCGGCTCGACAAGCGAGCCTGTTGGCAAGGCGGACGCTTGAGAATGAGTGTTGTGGCTAATGAAACAGCAGCCTTTTCCTTACGTATTCTAGAATTCTAGTTGCCTTGCTGCTGGGTGGACAGGCTACAACTGATACTCCGAGACTGCAGTGCCGAGGCAATCTGGAGTGGCAGTGCCGTAGCACGCACGGGTTTTAGACGACGTGCAGGATGCAACTTCGATAATTGACACCATCCTCGAGCTCAGGCAGGTGAAGAGTGTCACGAATGCTCAAGCCGGGGCGGTGTCTGATGTGCGCATCCAGGCAAGAGAACACTTATCCCCAAACACTCGCGCACTGCCTTGTACAGAAAGCCACAGCCTCATGTGCTGATGCTCGAGCTTCGGGATGTCGCTTAACGAAGAAAAGGACTCCGAAAATTCTTAAGGCTTTGGCTGATTACGAGCACTGCAGCGAGCCCTGTGCTTAATCGATGGGGAGCCAAGAAATGGGCCTTGTCTTGGCCTTTCTCTGAGGTGGGTCAGCATGTGGACCGAGCTGTGGGGGGCGCTCAGGGCTGAAGGCCTTCGAGATGAATGTGCCGCTGCCTCGGGCCGGGGCTCGGGCACCGCCTGGAGCCCAGGCCGATCTGTGGGATGCCTTGAGGTTCGTGCTACAGTTGACTACTGTGGCAGCCTTAAAGCGCTTGCGGAAAGTTCAAATGGTCGCTTGTTCTGCCGGGAGAGAGCAGAGAGCGTCCGCGCATAGCGCAGTGAAGCCTGCAGTCAGTGAGGCACTTGCTAACATTGCAGGTGAAGAGAGTTAGGACCTGGGACAGTCCATCTCGGGATCAGGGTTAATCCCAGCAAAGTGAGCCCTCCAGAACCCCATAGTCCATCAGCAAGCCAAGCTGCACGTCGTCGGATGGTACAGATGGGCAGAGCTCGAGGAGAGCTTCACGGAAGCAAAGAGAAGCCCAGTTTTTTGAGTAAGGGAGTCTGCCTTTTTTTGTTTGTGATGTCTTGTTTCGCTTCCGTTCCCGCTTCGACTTGTCTGCTTCCTTTCAGTGCCTTCTCTCCTGTCATGCTTTCAGAATCTCAGTCAGACACAAGCGGCTTGGTTTAGTTGGCTTACAAGCTTAATTGACGTGGCTGTGGCCCCCCCACAACCGGCGTCCCTTGCCAGAGCTGCCGAGGTCAAAATCTTTTTGAAGAAGATCCTTCACCAGAAAATTTGATCGGTGTCTGGATTTGCCCGTACGATACGGCCTTAGCGAGATGTGTCGCTGTCGTTATTGTTTCCAAGCCACAGGGTGCCAGATTGTACTCCAAGGACACGCTCGGGCTTGTTCGTGCTTGGGCCCGAGAGGATGCACTCGACTGTCCAAACGAACCAGATTCTCCAGTGGCACAGGTCCTTTGCAAACTCAACGACTCTAGAAAGCTTGCTGTGCTGCCGCTTATCAAAGTGCTGGAAGCCCTTGCCGCCGCCTTAAGCCCCAGAATGCGACTCGGTCATGTTCGCCTGGAACCTGCGATAAAGTGCGCAATGCTCTAAGGTGCGTAAAGCTGAGGAGTCAGCACCACAAGGAGGCTGCACTTGTGACCCGGTTTCTGCGGCGCGGGGCCTGTCGCTCTCGACCGACAGCCGACAAACTGCGTTTCTTTGAGGCCACTGAACTAGCTGCGCACCTCGACAAGGCCAGGCCTTCTACCAAAGACTCCTTGCTTTGCGCCTTTGCGCCTCGCCGCCTCGCCGCCTCGCCGACAGATTCGATCCCGAAACGGGCATTTGACAGCTTTGCAAAATTTGCGGAGCCTGCCGCGGACTGAGCTTCCCAGTGATCTGCGACTATATGTGATGCGATGTGATACGATGTGGCTAGCAAATTTGTCACATTCTTGCGAGGCAACAGCGGCTGGATGCCATGAGCGGGCACAGGAAGGAGGAGATGCTGTCACCCGACCATCGTGAAGCCTCTGCCTCACCCAGATCCTAGATGCCTAAAGTGGTCTCTCAGTTTTTTCCGCACGTTTTAGAGTTTTGACACGAGCCGGCGAACTGCACTGCATGGCAAATTCGGATACTTGAATCCACCAATGTGCTCACAGAAGGAGAACTACAGGAAGATCCGAGGTCTCCGAAGCTGTTAATCACCGCGTGAACGATCTCCCACCAAGATTCCCTTGCGATGCCACGGACCTTTTTGTGGATCTCGTTTCATTGGGAGCACTGCCTTGGCATCATGCCAAGGCCCCAAGTTTTTTGTGCAGACGGAAGCCAGATGATTGTAACATGCCCATGGCGAATGCCATGTTCGACCATTCGACGATGCCCCCGCACCGTACCAGCGACAGTTGCTAAAAGAACAGTTTGGGGAATGCTTTGGGTGAAGAGGCATGCCCGAGCAGACTTGGTGCATGTCGACTGCTGTTCCTGCAGGCATGTAGGGTGTCTTCAATACTAAACTCAGATGAGATGTTCAATCCATCACAAAAGCCGCCTGGTCTTCTTCTGCGGTGTTTTAGCTTGTTGTGAGGCATGCTAAGCAATCGAAGGATGATTGTAGCAGGCATTTAGGCTTGTTCGATCTGTTCGACAGCTCAGCCATGGCTGCATTTGTCGATGCTTCGTCAGCGTGTTCTGCAGCGGACTTCGTGTTTCAGACGTCGTCGCTGTGCCCTCGGATGTGACTGAAAGCACAGTCTTACATGGATGCAAGCGGCTCTCTGTCAGGCTGAGACCATTCCTGAATCATCCGGGGATAGATAAAGCAGGCGAAAGCTTGGTCTCCGGCTTCGCACGTATGCATGATCAGCATGGGATGCTGTATGTCGGGGAGAAGCTTTTTCGCAGATTTCTCACTTGCAGGGACAGCATTCCACAAGCCGATGAATCCGGAACATGCCGTCCGAGAGAAACAGGTTGCGAATCTGAACACTTGGAGCGAATGGGCGACTCCCTTGGCTGCCAGGTAAACGCCGGCCTGTCGCTGAGACCCTTCGTTGGTCCAAAGGCCGGGAGCCTCCTCTGAGCTTCGCTCTGTCAAAGTTCGCCGTTTCAGGATTCTGCGCCGAGAAGGCGAGCAGTGGGACCAGGGCCACGACGACCGGATGCCTTGACAAGCACAGCCCAGGCCCGACAAAACGTCAGAGCGCAGCGGGCGCAGGCCACGAGGCGCGAGAAAGCTTGCTAAATCTGCAGCATCAGAATGCGACAACGTTTGCATCTGGCGTTTGCACTTGCAGGCCTCATGGCAAATAACTTTGCTCGGACCATGCCCAAGTCTCAGCACTCGGAGACAGACTTCAATGCACTTTGCTGCCAGCTTGACGCACACATGATCCTCGAATGAGCAATAAACGTACCGATGCAACTCGGTTCTCTTGACTTCATAGCACGCCCTTTTCCTAAGGCCACCGCGGCTCAAAGTTTCGGGCCCTTCGGCTTGATCCTCGGATGTCGTGCCTGGTTTTGGATGAGCCGCACTGCGGTGAATGGCAGGAGCAACGTGGCAGGGCCGAGGTGCAGATGTACATAGGCTGGGTCCGTTCAGGATAGCGTCACAAGCAGTGTGAAGTTTCTAGTGATGAACATAGCATTTGGAAGGCCAGCAAACCTTGGGTTCAACGCACTCCAAAGAGCAGAATCGGACGGTGCTATCTGCTATCTGCTGTACACCAAGCCTGCAGCATTTGTTGAAGCAGAATGAAAGGTACCTTCGGAGGATGAGCTGACCAGCTTGCAATTTCCCGAGGATGGCTTTGGGGTTTGGGCTCACTCTTCCTTGCTTGGCCTGGCTCGGCTCGACCTGCAGTGACGTGCAGGAGCCAGACGATCCTCGAGTCGCAGTGCCTGTGCTGCCAGCATCCGTTATCCATCATCCTAGCGGTATGCCTGGCCAGGGTGCTCTGAATCATCTTCTTGATCTTGAGGCCTCAGTAAAGCCATCTTGGCTTTTGGCTTTGGTATCAGCTGGTGATGAGCCGTCATGACGATGGAAGGGGACAAGATGTTTTAACTTACACGTCCCGTGTCTGCCAAGTCAATGGACTACCTGATGCGGTCATCAGCCAGGGGATGACATGGTAGACTACTTGGTGTTCCCCGAATCTTAGCACAGATAGCCAGGCGCACCGGATAGGTGATGTGCCGCTGGCCTGTTACTGACTGTTACTGTTTGCCTTGCTGTACAAACGCTGTGCCCTGAGATGCCAGGAGCCTCAGGGAAGACTTCGCCCCTACGTCGCCCATCCGAGCGACCGGCAGGGAGCCCGAGCTGGCAAGAGGCATGGCATGCATGGCAGCCATGGCTGCTTAGGTCAGCGAAGTCAAAGACTTCAAAGGATCCCAGCGAGTGCGGAGCTTTGCCCGGTGTTTCCCAGCAGATGCGTCTGGCATTAAGTGTTTGGTGGCATTCCGGGATACAGGAAGGATTCCCATCGTGTTTTGGGTCTGTGAGGCCTGCGCTCTGCCTGACTGCGAAGCCGAAGCCGCTGCACAGCAATTCCACGACCGCTCCAAGTCCTTCTAAAGGACATGGATCGGCTAAGCCCGTCTTGGCAAATGCAGGTGTTCTTGGGGTTGCTGTGCGGATTTTGCTTCAGCATGCGAGCCCCTCGCATCGTCGCACAACTTGGCAGGTTTGCTGCAGTTCATGCTTCCAAGTTTCGGCTTCCCAGCGACTATCGCCGAGGAGGCGGCTTTTGAGCAGAACCGCCTGCTGTGCTGCGCATGTCAGATTGCAGGCGACCCTGGAGCAGCTGCTCTTCAGTCCAACTCACCACGACGAGCGCTTCCAGGCTCGATCGAGGAGGGAAGCGGTTGCCGAAGCCGAAGCAGTGCCGCAGTGCCGCAGTGCCCCTGGCCAGTTGCTCGAGACGTGAAAAGGGCGAAGCTCCGGCGGCGAAGTGCTTCGCTTCTGGCCCATGGCGGCCTTCACCGTGATGTTTCCGTGTCACCTCACCCGTGTCTCACCGCTTCGAATGTGGCTACGCCGCAGCTAGGCCGAGCTCCGCGGAAAATCTAAGAAGACAGTTAAGACAATCCTTGCGAGCTGCAAACTGACAGGCCTCGAGGAAACTGCAACCAGACTGAAGGGTTCCTCTCTGTGTATTCGTCTTCTTCGCGCAGCTGCGGCTCAAGCTCAGGGCTCCAATACGCTGAACATGTGGAGCACATATGAAAATGGCACACATTGTGCTTGCACCCCATGCATTAACCTCATAGGACACTCACAGAGATAATCACGTGCTAGAGTTTCCAGACTCGTCTCAGCTACTGCCTTAGTTGGAGCCCAGCTTCTGAAGGGACTCCAAGTTGAAGGTCCAACGATCCCAAGGTCCGCTCGGGCGACCTCGGCAAGGGCTGATGCAGGCTCCAACTCGTGACATTTCTTGTGGGCTCTTCTACCAGCCAGCATAGGCCACCGTTATGTATAACAACAGTCACCTTGCTGAGCGAACTAGCAAGCAGCTGCTTTGGGCTGTTACTCGGATCCTTGTGACAGTGGAAGGACAGCTTTAGACAAGCAATGCCGCAGTGCGGGTAGCTGCTGTCAAACAGTAGTTGTGAAGCACTTTGTGCAGAACACAGAACAGTTGGAAGGACGGCCACAACTTGGCGGAAAGTGTGGCTTTGCAATCGACTGCCAACGATAAGATTGCCCGACATGCCTGTCCACTTTGCCCTTAAGTCGATTCGCTGCGAATGACAAAGCTGCAGATGACAACAGCAGCCTGTACTGTACGAGGCATGCTGTACTTCAGTGAATCCCACCTGCCTCAGTCATGTTGCGGTCTGGATGCAGCATTCGTGCTTCTGCTGGCACTTGCACGTAAGGCTCACCATAGAGAGCACTGCTGCCGTAACCTCGCCGCCGGCAGCCATGGTCACGAAGCTGGTCTGCACGGCCATCATGGTGGCTTCCTGGATCGATGCCGCAACTGCTGACGCCGTTGGTGAGCACAGGCGTTTGCGTTCCACGCGGCAAGGCGGCGAAGCGGTGCTTCTTGCTGGCTGCGATCAAGACGACGAGATCTTGATGACCAAGCTCGGTGGAGGAAGCGCGCTCGGGAGCTTCCCCAAGCTTATTTCAGAGTGTGGCAGCAGAAGCTTCAATCTATTTGATGGTCTCGACAACTCCACGTTCACTTCTTGCATCACCGCAAGCACAGGAGTCAGGGAGAGGTGTGCTCGGTGTTTTCTAGAAACAGCGAAATATGGAGCCGACCACTGCAAGTGGTCGTGCTTTTGGGGGTCCTGGTGTGGTGCAGAGTGCTTGAAGTGCGTCGAAAGTGCGAACAGAGCCACCCGAGCATGCGCTGGAGTGGCTGTGCCAGTAGCGAACGCGTGCATGTAATGTCAGGTATAGTAGCAATTTAGGTGTACAGCCTTTTGTCATCTAGCTGCGGTTGGAGTTTGAGTCTCGCTGGCGGCATTTTTCCAGTTTTGCAATTTGGAATTGCACGAAAGTGTACAGACCGGACCGGTCAAGAAACCGCTGCCTCCTTTCAGTTTGGCAGCTGTTGGGACTGTTTCTTCGGGCCAGGATTGAAACATCCTCGCCCATCTCGTACAGCTCAACCATGCTGAACCGGTGGTGCCCGCTACAAGAGATACGCTGGGACTGTCAGACCCTTTGACGCTCACTGCGCATGCCCAGAAAATTCTCTTGGGTCAAATTGGCAGGGGGGGACAAAGCCTCGGAGTGCAACGCTGCATCTGCAGGGCCGGCAAAGATCCGATCGGCGCGCTCAGCACCTCGACAGCTCTGCTTGGGACTGCACTGATGTGTAAAGCACACAAGGAGCGGCAGCCCTCCGTTTGCACGTGCACTGCGATGCCAAGGCCTCACGCCGCCCGACCGGAAGTCAACGAGGCTGTCTAGAGCACTAGTGGATGCAAAGTGAACCAGTCGCACGAGGGGCTCTCAGAGAAGAAAGACCCGTGCTGCGCACTGAGGCGGCTCCGCTGCCGCACGAGAGGGCTGTTCCTGGTGCACAACCATGTCCTGTTTCTGCGGTATCTGCCGTGCCACAGGCCTGACGTGCCTCCACTTTGGACAAGCTTTATGTCCCATGAGCCGTTCGCAAGGCAGCCCCCGTTCCGACTCCGGTTCCGCATCAGCCGTGAACTCAGATAAGTACTCGGGTGTCACTGATGCCCGTAAAAGAATCCATTGAAGGAGTTGAGTCTCTTAAACAGTCCGCAGAGCGACGTTTGACGAGCCACCGAAAGCCGCTCTAAGAGCCACATGAGCTATTAAAGCTGTCTTGCGTTACAGCACGAGCACAGTCCCCCGTAGATGCCTCCTCAAGGGCAGCCGCCAGCCGGCCAGCTGCCATGCGTCCGTTGCTCCGGAAACTTGTTCAAGAAATGCCTTGATGGTTGGAGTGAATCGAAGTCCGTGTGGCAAGAGGCACCTGCCATGTTGACGACAAGGTCAAAACAGCTTCGAAGATCCAGCAGTAAGTACCCCGCCCTGCATGGTAGCACAACGGGCCTTGGAATCAAAGGTTTAGAGCTCCTGCACGTCGTGGCAGCTGGGTACCTGAATCTCTGCTAAACTGCTTTGCGACTGCTTTGCGAGAATCTCGTTTTGGGGCGGCAGTTCTGCCATCAAAATCAATACCAGCTTCCTGGCTTTCCTGGCATGCTTCTTAGGGAACAATTCTTTCAACGCCGAACTTGGGAGCTCGCCTTAGCATGACGCATGGCGAGCTTCGCAGGGCATTTTGTCCGTTTCAGGCCAATGGAAGGTTGAACATGTTCGGTGAGTTCTGTCCAAGGCGCTATGTTTCTAGCAGTCTTGAGTCAAGCTGGTTATACAGCAGACAGTAGAATACGCTTCAGATGCACTCCAAAATTGTCATGTTTCCTGCGAGAACCGCGATGTTGAAGTGATCCTGCAGCCTCTCTCTCTCCGTTGAATTTCCAACGAGCAACCGAACAACGTTCCCACGACATCTTGTCTTTAGTTTCTATTGCTTCCTGAAACAGAGAGAATCGCGCGACGATCCAAAAGCACTTTGTCGTGGCGAGAAACCTTAGAGATTTTGTAGCGTTTTTGTACGGGAAATCTATATGAAGACTGCAAAATTACCAAAACTACCTCACAAGGGTTCGAAGAAATGCAAAGAAATGCTGACTCACTCTTTAAGAATTTCCAGTATTCGCCAGGAAATGAATGTCACAAGACTAGCTCTGTATGCCCGGCTTCAGTCGTTGTGTGATGATGAAGAGTTGTGCTGAGTTGGGAGTGCGGTGAGAAGGATGTTTCAGAATCCGTGTCCCCGTCAGGCAAAGCTCAATCGGTTGGCATCTCACACCTGTGATGCTGTCACATCATGTGACAAATGCGGTTGCGTCGTAGGCCAGAGCAGCAGATGGCATTCAGGCTCTGAGAACATGCTCGATGTGGATGTGACGGTGCTGGCATTTGCACAATGGGTGTCGTGCTCGGAAATACAATCACGGCTTGCGAGGATGGTGTGTCAGATACGACAGTCCGATTCTCCAGAGCATAAGGTCATGGAGCTGAAGAACAAAAGCTCCAACTCACAGAAATCACTCCAGGTGCAGCTTTCGTAGGTGCAGTCCTTGGATACTGTATCAGAGCTCGCCAGATCGAGCTCAATACGATCAAGAATGCCATCAACGGTAATCACAGTGACCTCGCAGACTTCAAGCGCCACGGGGCGGTCTGGGCCCAAATTGCCACAACTGTGGCAAATCCCACGAACTGCAGCATTGGCCCGGCGCTCCGAATTTGCTTCAGTTGTGCCACCTTTCCCGATGTAATCCTCAAAGTATACTGTCGAGGACTCGAACATACCTTGTGCTTCAGAATGGGGTGACAACGGTTATTGAATCGCAGGGGGCTGCCTGTCCTACGTCAGAACCGTCAGTATTCGCGAGAGCAAATCAAGCTAATCTGGCGGCATGTGGGGTAGATGCAGTCGTCGTCTGACACAGTTAGGCCATACAACAGCAGATGCAATCAGAAATCAATGAGCCAGCGCCTCAGTTGATGTAGCCGCATCAGCAGACTCGGCTTTGTTCTGACGGCGGTAAGGATTCGCGAGTCGTTAAGCTCTGTCTTCATGGAGATCACTGCAGCTGTGCGGAACAACGCTGCTGCAGATCAGGATTGCTGCAGATGCACGGCGGTTTAATCGTCAGCTGCAGCGTTGAATCCGGCTTTCAGGATCTGAAAATGAAGATACAGATGTTAAACGAACAGGCGGGGCTGTAGCTTTGCGATGGGATGCGATGGGTCGCGACATGCAGCGATTTGTCTTGGAACCCTTTCAAAATCAGGCTGTTCGGAATGAGACCGCGTTTGCCCAGCTGGCGGATGCCAGAGCCCCGGATGTGAAGATGTGACCTGTGTAAGTGTACACCTGTCGCCGTCGCCAACGTCTGGAGGCAGCTGACCAGTCACAGTCCAAGCTTCGAGCAGCGGCGCAGGCCGAGGGAAGCCTAGCCGTAGTCAAAAAACACATAGTGACGGGCATTCGGTTGCACACGAAGCACTGGGACCGTTGCCGGGTCTGAACAGGAGATGCAGCAGTTTTCTGAGCGCATGCGGGACGACCTCGCTTCGCTGAACCAGAAGACGGACACTTTGCAGGGCACCGTGACTTGCCTGGCCTTACCCATTTCGTTCTTGATACGCGTGCTCTCCATTACCACGAAGGTGCTGGACCGTGCAGACCAACTCAAAAGTGAGACGGATCAGCTGTCACAGGACCTGGCAACTGGCCCCTGGATGATGTTACAGCTTGTAATGCAACGTTGCCGCTGCTATGGGCGAGCCATGGCAGGACCTGCGCACCCAGCTTGAGAAGCGGAAAGTCGACTTCTTACGTTCGGGAAAGTTCGACATCGTGTACAAACTTTTGCGAGCACATTTCTTCTATGGGAGCTTCAGGTGCAGCTTCAGAAGATGGTCCAGGACGTCGTAAACATCGGTGAGTCCTTACAAGGCAGGGTTTATTGGTGCCGATTTTTCCGGCAAAATTGGGGATCTTTGTGAGGTCCAGGTGCGTGTCAACGTCAACTGTTGAACGATGGCCCATGCTGGAAAACTCTGCCGCGAAAGGTCTCGTAAACGATTTCGGTGGTGTGAAGCGAGAGTCCGGAGCTACTCAAACTAGGCTCGCTGCTCATTTTGCCCTGTACGAACGGTTGAGTTACAGACATGCAGACACTCAGGCTCAACTCCAGCCTGTACTCGCTGGATGCACGTCGGCAGCAGGTGCGAAAGCCCTGGACATGGACGATACAAGTGACACATATTGTTTGGGCAGGGTACCACTGCGCCAGTATTGGCCTCGGGAAGGGAACTGCGCAAATTGCCCGGACGCTGTGCTGAATATCTCTCCCAAGGCAGCTTGCCAAGTCGTGTCGCTGAGTTCCCAGATTCGACGAGCAAGTCCTGTCGATTGGGGGTGCATGTCAAGAAGACTTTCAGGTCCAAGTTCCATGCGATGCCCATGGCACAGGAGCGTGGCTTCAGCAGGGCACATGTTTCTCCCATAGGAACTTTCCTTCCCGTCTGCTGATGCAGTTGAATCATCTTTCAGGCGCCTTATGTTTACAGCCGCTGCTTGCCTCAGCGCTGAGTGGCTGGGGATGAACTGGCGGCTTCGAGCTGATTGTCCTTCGGCCGGTGCGGGCCAGGCCAGATCTCTGGAATAGGAAGTGAGCAAAAGGACAACTGCTCGGATCGGCAGCGAGGAATGATTGAACTTATGCAAAATGTATGCTAAGCCCCTGTCCTGGAGCATAAAAGGTTGACCTTCAAGATTGAAGCAATCTCGGCTCGGCAGGGAGCCAAATTCATATTCTGCACGACGCCAAGTTACCAACACGCGAGCTCTTGGCCTGAAAAATCGCCTGAGCCTTCAGCCTCAGACAGTGGTACCCAGTAGCTTCAGGAGCTGTGCAACGTCTTATGTCTCCCGTCGCGCGTGTCACTCCAGAAGCGACATCAGATATCCAAACCGGCTTTTCAACACTCCTATGATAGGCAGTTCAAGGCATGCACGAGCTCGGAACTTTGCGTGCTGTCTTCCGGATCAGCAATCTGAAGAGAGTCTGCCAACGCCGCTGCCGGTAGGGCGGGCTCAAACCCAGTGTCAGAGTTCACCCTTGTGCGGGAGAGGCCGCTTAAAACACGCCTTCGCTTCCCAGCCCTAGAATTCTGTGAATCCTGTGGTGACATTCACAAAATTCGCAGCTATCAGCACCAGTGAGACTTGTGCGTGCAATCCATGACTGAAGCGCCATGTGGCAAGCAGCGTGGCATGGCAGTCCTGTCAAGGAGTGGGGGGGGTTTCACATGCTTCGTGAGCACCTTTGATGTTGATCGGCAGGCCTTCTGCAAAGCGGACTGGTCAGAGCGCTCAGTCTGTCTGCGGCCGAGGGCACAAGCTGTCCCTTGTGGCCTTCCCAGATCTGTCATCCTTCCGTTTTTTTGCAGGTTGCAAAATCATCGAGAAGACCCAAGCCCAAGGCGAGGCGCTAATCCCACAACAAAGGCATCGGGCATATGGACCATTTGCTGATCTGGAAGGCTGCGCTGGGTGCTATCTCTGAAGCTGCATCTCGGATGCAGACTTGGCCTGTCTCATCAGTTCAACTACGCGGCTACCAGACCAGGCAGAATGGACCGAACAGTCTGCAGCTGGGAGACACGACTTCGATGAGGAGCTGGAGACAATGTGGGCAGAGGCCGAACGATTTTCTGGAGGATTCACGCGAATATGTGTGTTTGGAAGCGGCCCAACTAATTCAGATTCAATCTTCGCGAGTCGAAGGCAGGTGCAGAAGACGGAGCGACCAACTCCTCCGCAGGTCGGACAGTGCTCGCCATGCCAGCTTATGTGTTTACCATACATTGTGTACCAGCAGACTTTGAATGGCCACTCCAGCTCGTGTGTCTGTGTCTGGAAGCAGTACTTCGGGGGTGCAGCATGGTGTAGCTGAGCACGTACTGACTCAGACGCTTGGTCAACATCATGCCAGGAAAGTCGTGCGATGCTGCCACGGTGGCTTCACGTGCACTCGCAGCAGCAAGTGCTGCACGGAAGGCCTCTTTGCATCTGCAACTCTGATCCTGTCGTTTCTTCTCTGCCGGCTCTGGCGCTTGATTTCCGTTTGCCTTGCAGGGTGTTCTTGGAGTCATCTGCAGCACGGGAACCGCGGACGTGTCTGCAGCAGCTATGCACCCAGTGCGACTCGAGACCAAACGACGGCATGATGCACATTCCATGTTCCAATTCAGACAGGCCAGACGAGGAATCATCGAATCCGGTGGCCACTTGACAAGTTGAGAGGGGATGATAGCAAGTCATCCACGGCATGTGCATACACGGCTACCGGAAAAAATGCATCTTTCCGAGGCCGGCTGCAAACAGCAGAGCTATCCTTTTGCAAGGCCTCTCGCAGTTGTCGGGTTTTTGTTACCAAAAACAGCAGAGAGAGAGGGAGAGAGAGAGAGAGAGAGCGAGAGCTGTGCAGGGAGCCTCTGCTGCGACCGCAGTCGAGCGTGGCGGCTCCGACCCACAGGACGTGCCACCAGCTGCCATCGGAAACTGCATGATAAAGGAGTTGTTGCTGCTTCTAAGCAGCTCCCACTACGAGAGAGACCATGCAGCCCTGTTGAGTGGCATTCTTCACAACTGCTTCCCATGTGGTGGCTTTGGCATACAGAATGCAAAGCCCAGAGAAATCGCCTTAAGCCGCTTTGGATTCCAACATTTCAAGATCATTTCATTCGTATCGCAAGCCGTGCCTCTTGTCTCATTTTTTGTCTTTGTCACGCCTGTTAGCAGTCTCTTGGTTACGAGAGATACGAGAGTGACAGCCTCAGCTCGACCTCCACCTCGAAAGTGTCTGATATTTCTGTCTGCTTGTTCGCAGCTGTTGTAAGATCAGAGACGCGTTGTGAGTGATGGCGCCCGTCATAGAAATCTTCCAAGTGCCGCCGCTGATGTGCAATTGCAGCCTGGTCGGCGACACCGAATCCAAAGATGCCTTGGTGGTCGATCCGGGTGGAGATGTCGATCACATCATGAGCCGCCTGAGATTCCACGGATTGACCTGCAAGCGAATCCTAATTACGCATGGGCACTTGGATCATATCATCGGGGCGACAGAGCTGAAGAAGCTTACGGGTGCTGTGATCCTGATGAACCAGAACGATCTGGGCATCTATGAGAAAGTCAAGGCTTGACGTTTGTGAGCATGCGCGAAAGCAATGTCAGAACAGCGGCGCTTGTTGTTGAGATTCCAAGGGTTCTAAGCTTTAACACTAAGCAGGCCGTCACGTCATGCCAAACGAGCTGGCAACTTCAGGGAATTGGCTGTTGCGTTGTGTAATTAATGAGCTCCATCCAATTGCAGGAGCAGTGCCGTGACTTCCGTGTGCCGCCACCTTTGGAGCCGCTTCTGCCACCAGACGACTTCTTGGCCGATGGTGATGTGGTGCAGTGGGCACCGGACCTGACTGTAAAGTGCTTGCATTGCCCCGGTCACACACCCGGTTCGATGTCATACTACTTCGAACAGCACAAGCTCGTCTGCCCAGGGGATACATTGTTCCAGGGCTCAGTTGGCAGGACGAATTGGGCAGGGATTCCCTCGCTCCAAGGCACCTCGGATTCAAACCAGATCATTGGAAGTATAAAGACAAAGCTTCTTACCCTTGATGGCGATGTGCGAGTGATTTCGGGACATGGGCCAGATACCACCATTGCAGACGAGAGAGCCCACAATCGCTTCGTCCGATGAGCGTGCTGCACGGCCTAAGTGCCCTTTCGGCTTGCTGCAATTTAGACGATTTCGTAGGGGCAATGGTGCACGTTGCCATCCCTCTGGTACTCGAAGCAGGGGGGCGCATCAGGCTCTTGCAGAAAAGTTAGCACGTTTGCTAAAGCTGCGTTTCAGCGGACAAGTGTCTGACTGACTTCCTGATTTCGCTAGGACGACTCGGAAGAAGAGACGTCGGAGACATCCGAAGAGGAGGTGGAGATGCAAGAGGTTTCCATGCGGCCCAGCTGAAGAAGTATTATCCAGATTGCATGAACGCGATGGGCGTGTCACAGCTGCAAGGCCCAGCCGGCCTGTGAACTCCAAGCCCAAGGCGAGCGGGCAAAGCTTATGCAGAAACTTGAAGAGCCCTTGGAGTCCTTGGGAAGGTGGCCGCAGATGTTCTTGAACTAGACATCGACATCGGCCCTGAGGCTTCAATGTTTCCAATCACCTGCATGTACAAGCACAGTTCCGTGTTCCGGTTTCAAGCAAAGTCCCGTCTGCAGCCGTGTTGGCCTGCTTTCCGGCTCAGCTAAACCAACAAAGCCACATCACTGTCTTTCAACGCAGGAGGATCCTTGTATCCCGTTGCCCAGAGCATAACATAGCTAATGGCAGGACTTTGCAGTACTTGGATACCGTTGATGTCGTTGCACCAGCGCCTGCTCGGGCTGCTCGAATTGAGTTGGCCTATGGGCTCACAGAGGTGTGACTTCGTAGACGGATGAACTATGCAGTGTAAGCAAGCAGCCTACCCCCATGGAGACAGATGGCAAGCATTCCAGTGATGCAGCGGCAAAGGGACGGTTCACTGTGTTTGGACAGAAACCGCCTGCAGGCGTGCAGCCAGAAGATGGTAGGCGGGTTGCGGATGCGGGAGAAGCATCTCCTGCCACGGAGTCTGCACCGCGTGTGCGCATAGCAGAAGCACAGCAAGTTCAGGTTGAGGTTGTGGACGAGGTCTCAGAAACTGCAGATGATACGTCACAGACGGACGGAAAGGAAGACAATCGAGGTCGGCAGAAGGCATTGAGGGACAGCCCCATCCGGACGAAATATAGCCCGGATGCCAGGCGGGAGCTGCGACAGAGGCGCAATTCTGGGCAGAGTTCGGCAGACAACCTGCTGAACATCGCTCGTCAGTACGACCGCTCGAAATCGGCTGTCGGGGACTCCAATTTGAAGCCAACGATTTCAAAAGCCTCCATTGCAAGCGTGGGACACATGGTGACAGCTTCTCTCCGAGAAGTAGTCACGAGCTCCAAAGACCACAACGTTGTGAGTGCCAAGTTGCTCCAAACCCTTGCAGATACAAGCGAAGATGAGCTGCGAGGAACACTTCCGCCCGGAGCTATGGCGGCACTGAGTCGACATTGGTCCATGCAGGGCATCAAGCAGGTCTGCGGGATTGATGACTCTGCTGGGCAAAGCGACTTCCATGCCATGCGAGAGAAGGGGATGTTCTTCTGTGGTTACCAAGATGCGGCGATGAAAAAGCAGGGCCTGCCATCTCTCTTCTCAACCGAGGCTGCGTTGGAGGACATCTCCAGTTCGGATAGCGAAGACGAAGACCAGGAAGCCTTGGAAGCACGCGATCACAAAGCCATTCTACGGCCGGAAGATGACAGACTCATCATGCTGCATCGCGTGAGAGGAGAGGCTGTGATGAGGCGAGCGCCTCAGAACCATGAAGCAGTCTTAGACTTCGGGGAATCTCGAATCAGCGTACCGCGTGGAGTCAAAGAGAACGGCGGTCAGCTCCAGAAGGTAGCAGTGGACATGAATGATGACGGTACGGGGAACATCGTCATCACCACCCAAACTCCCAGACGCTCTTGCAATGCAAGCGAACCCAATTCCTTGGCAGATGTTGTGGACTTGAACAACCTGGAGAAGCAATCCAGGAAGCAGCCGAATGATGAGACCCACCAGATTTCACGTCGTTTGACTCGCCCGCCGCCTAGCTTCAAGGAGTGGGAAGCCTGGCGTGAAATCCAGCGGCAAAAGCGGATGGAGTCTACAGATGATGCAATAAGAAAGATGAGGGACGGTCCACAGGCTGAGACCAAGACCGCAGCCACATCAGCGAGAGCAAATAACATTAAAGAAGAAAGCGCAAGGACTCCCACGGACAACTCACAACAAGTCATTGCTCGAAAGGCACAGCGAAACGACAAAGAAACGGTACTTGTGGCAGAAAGGATCTCAGAGCCCCGGGATGCAGCAGCACCGCCAAGTGAAGACGAGCTTCACCGAGCCTTGCTGCAGTTGTCGATTGACCCTGGAGTGGTCGCCAAAGCAGCTGGGCGAGAGCAGTCGAAATCCATAATGTCCTCGGAAGACACAATGCCCGCAGTGCTAAGCAAGCGCTGGGTCTTGAAGTCTTCTGGTGGGAAGCCGCTGCGGATCGACTTCTCTGCGGCCATGACGGTGCGAAGTGCAGCGAAGCCGGTCAACATGTCTGGTTCGTTCACTGATGATGAAACAGGTAGTGCTGGGAGTCGAGCCATGTTCTGGGGCGACTTTTTCACACCACTTCCTGATAAAAGTGCTTTCGAGCGCATGAAGCACAAGATACTTCACTGCTGTGGACAAGAAGTCCAGAGAGGCGCGCCAGAGCATGTAAACAGAGGCCCTACCGACTGTGAATGCCCTCTACCCGATTGACAGTCACCCCTTTCTGCCGACGAGTGTAAAACAAGACCTTGAAAGGACCCAAATGTGAGATCGCCGACCACAGCAAGGCACATCATGGACACGATGGGATGTGGACCCGGCGTTGGCAGTCCTGCAGCAGATAATGGAGAGTACGCGGGGCCATGTGAGCGCGTGGGTCGTGTGTGGCGTATCCTTTAAGGGTGTTCGTGGCGCTGTGCCGCTGCCAGGTGCACAGGTAAATTGTCCAAGGCCTGCTTTTGCTTAATTCGCAGTGTAAGTGAGGTGCAGGCCCCAAGCTTTTGCTCAGGCAGCGGACGCCGCAAGTGGAGCGATCAACTCTCCCATGCTCTGGCCCAAGTAACAACTGCCATGTCTGCATGGCACAGCAGGCTTGAAGATTGGTTCAGTTTGCCACCCGCCTAACTAGCTCATGAGCGATGCCACAAACGACGGCCCTTACTTGCGGCTCAGCCTCGAATGTTCGCCTTGCCTCAACAGTGGGAAAAACCGGAGGGTAAACTGCTTGCCACGCCCTTGAACCTGAGAGTGGGGAGGAGTGGACAGTCCTCAAATAAAGCTGGATACCTGAGCTCAACCGGGCTTGTGGCTCAAGGTCAAATTTCTGCAAGGACTGCCATGTCCGAGAAACCGAAGCCGTGATCTGCTCCAATCCTGTGCCATGACGGAAGTTGTGGGCGGGAGACCTCTTGCCAGGAAAGGAGCTCTGGCCGAGAAGCTGAATATGGTTATGACTTGAAAAGTAAACTAAGCAAGGAAGATGGCAGCGCCTGGAAAGGTGTCGTGGCTTGAAGCTGCAAGCCGTGGAGCTACAGCCTCCAACGTCTGAAACTTTTCCACATATCAACAAGCCTTGTGTCCGGAGTTCACAGCACGAGCTCAAACGCGAAGGGTTGAGGGCCTGAAACTGGCTAAACGACGTGATGACATCTTCGTACTGGAGGTCTCCTGCATGTGAAGGCGAAAGTATCACCACTCCGAGTTGAGATTGGATCTAAACATATTGAGCTCGCCAGATTTGATCAAGCAGTCCCCTACTGCCGGTTGTCATCCGGCTTCTGTGATGTAGGCCAGCAAACAGCTGTAGGTTTTTGTCCTTGACGGAGGCAGCAAGGTCGTTGTGCGAGCACAGGCTTGATCGACAGTCATGTGATAGACTGATATCTGAGGCGTGGGCGAATTATGGTTGGCACCGATCTTGAAACGAAGGTGGGTGGCTTCGAAGCCCAGCGTGCAATAGTGATGCGACTGGAACAGCGGGAAGGTTCTTCGCAAACGGTGTGAAGAGTCATGCGATACAAGCAGCAAGACGAGCGTCCATGCCACAAGCTCATGTTGGAACGAGCTGGTTCGGTGTTGGAGTTTCTGTTCTGTCCCAAGGCCGTGGAAACGGCAAAACTGTCAACATCCAGCTCCAATAAAGATACCGCACCGGCCTTGATGTCGTGTGTGGAGGTGTTCGTCCGATGTTCCTTCGCACATGTTCGTTTTTTCCACGTACAGCTTCACAAGGATGGCCAGGCAGAGGACATGAAGATTTCCAGCGCGGAGCCTGCAGGTTCGGCTTTTGGGGATGGCTGCTAAGGTAAGATCTGCAGAGGCTTCTTTCGCCCGGAACCTTCGGAACAAATAGCGTTGCATATCGCACCGCCAGAGGTCAAGCGGCAGCTGATGCTGAAATTGAGAAGGAATGGGAAGAGATTGCCTTCCGCAGCGATGAGCTTGCCAAAGAGGTAGACCCAGTGTTTTGCGCGAAGAGCAAACACCGGAGAAGCCTGCGAGGCCAGGGAAAGCCGTGGCAAGGCCGTGGCCCAGCAGGATGCAGCTTACTCGGCAACCTTGGGCGGGAGCCGCTTTTCAAGATCGAAGCTCCAGCCTTTCCTGTAGGCCCTGAGGAAGCCGATCTGCTACAAAGAGGCAGAGAATGTAGAGGAAAGGTCTTCGAGTGCCTTTGCATTGGACCAGGTGCAATCGTGGCTTCACGATCTTTCAACTTCCAAAGAGGCTGTGCTGACTTGGAAGCTGATGAGTCCGGATGAGGGTAACGAGTGGTTCCGAGACAGGCTGCTACCACTGCCATCGCGTCTGAGACTGAGATTGAAAAGCCCGGGAGACGACCGGAGGAGACTTTTGAGCTACCGCAGATCGACTGCACAAGGTTATGAACTGGACTTGTCAGGAGTTCGTCTTGAGTCTGAAGGCGATGTCGCACACAACTCAGCAACGGTTCACAGTGTGGAAGCAGGCCTGCAGTTGAAGTGGCGAGGTTCGACTTCAATGACATGCTGCACTATCGCCTGCTGCACACGATGTACAGCAAGCTCGCACGCTGTAAGGCAGATCTTGCCACGAATTGTTTCAATCGAAGGGACGGCTGCACGATTGAGGTCTGTCCAAGAATCGGCAGCCATTGGGAGGCTGTGACTGAGACAACCGAAGCCGAAGTGCTGCTATGTGCTGCTGGTCCACTCACTTTCGGCGGCAGACGTTCCAGGTCCTGGGGTTTCAAGGCACTGATCCACACACGGATCTGAACCGTTCCGGTGGTTTGCTGAATGCCAGGTCCCCATTTGTTACCCCGTCCACAGCCTTGCCCAGTGGCTTTTTGCAGATGCAAAGCCTTAAGATGCCTTGAGGTCGTTCACATGTTCTTCTTCTTTTCGCACTTCTTTGAAATTTTCAAAGCCGCGTACCTGCTGTCTCAGGACCGCATGTGCTAAGATGCCTTAGGTATGCGTTGTTTATCCAACAACAAGTTGTGCTCAGCTGTCACAAGTCGCACAGTGTCATGCCAGTCACGCACGGTGTCTCTTTGTGAAATAAGATACATACTCACGAAGCGGACTCAGGACGATCAGCAGCATTTTCCACTAGCTGCTGTGTGCATCAACATTACCAAGATGGTGATGGATGCACTTGCGGCTGGAAGTTTCTCGAGCATTCTGGACGAGATCGACCAGGGGGTATTGCTGGCTTGGTTGCCGCTGACTGCTCCTCGTCCACTGACGTTCGAGTTACAGGCAATCCCGGTTGCCGAGACCACGTGTCTGATCTTCAGCGGCGGCATGAAACTTAACTTGTCTTTGATACAGGACAGCCCGCTGCCTTGCTGACTCAAGTCATCTGCGGAGGCTTGCATCACTTCTACAGCAGGTGGCGGACGCAAAAGCGCACTATAAGGCGCTTTTGAAGATGCGTCGGTGGGCATGCGGCCACGCATGTGATCATATGTGATCCAGATGTCTGCAGCATGAACTGTTGTGGCTTCGGGCATGCACGCTGTCTTTCGACGAATGAGCTGTCAGTGTCCCGCGCGAAAATCAGAGCGTAGGTTTGGGAAAGTATGATGGAAAGGATGGAAGGCATTTGTTCAGTTTTGTTCATGCTCGAAACCGCGAGCGAGTCGGAAAACACCTTCACGCAAAGCCATGGTACTGTAGCTTGAGCCTCCATCAGGCTGTGGCTGAATTTCGAAAATCGCTTGCATCGTTTTGACGCCGTCGTTCCCAAACGATTTGTGGAGGAATTGCTTGTAAAAGTTGGTGGGGACAGAACCATCTTCAGAATGCCATGCTTCGAGCATACGAATCAGGCACAGGGCCACGATTTCAACCATACGAAAGCCCACTGGGCTCTGGCACATGACATCGTAAACAGCACGGGTCATGCTGGAAGAGTGACTTTCCGGTGTGCAGTCGTCAAAGCCTGCCTGTCGGGACTCTCGTATCGAATCCAATCTTACATAGCCGGGCATTTTTCTGGATGCGGCGATTCCAGCAAATGTCCAAGCATGCATTTCAAAAGCAGACCTCATTGCATGCAGGGACAGCGAACAGACCTTCAAGGAGGCATGACCAAGCCGGGCGCAGAAAGCTCTGGTGACAGTGCAAAGCTGCAGCAGGTCAGGGCGTTAATGTGCAGCCAGCCAGCAACCTTGCTGGAAGAATTGCACAAGGCTGCCACAAGCAGTGCACGCAGGCTGTGCGTCGACGGGTTTCTCTGGTTTCCTTCAGGGGAGCGAGCATGCCGCGATTGGAGCGATCAAGGCGGATTCGGCCCAAGTTGCTGGAGCCCTACAGTCTGATTGCACATCACAAATGCAACCCCCAGTTATCCTCAATTTGACCTCAGGAATTTACCAACTTGGGTTCGGTGGATCCAAAGGAGGCACAAAAGTGCATCTCGTAGCGACGACTTGTACAGGCAAAGCTGTAGAGCGCACCGTCGGACCGTCTCTGCGAAGGCGCTGCTGGAGAGTCCGGGTCCACCACCAGGTCCCCGAGGACTCAGGCGGAGATCAGAACGCTTGCTGCTTGGGCACCATGCAACAAGAGAGCAGGCACTACCAAGCAGCTGAATGAACCCAAAATAGAGTTGCCGGAGCGCGAAGCTGGCGCTCCGGTCCATGCCTCCTGCCCAAGACGGGCAGGAAGCTGTGCAAATGGGGCAGTTTAGATGTACTCGCTGCTCCAGCACATGATTGTACATAGACATACACATACACATGTCATGACTTCAGGCCAGTGGTCAAGACACTGAAGAATGTTGCCGCATAAGCTTTCTACTGGAGGCACAAACCTTCCGAGCAGAGCACGTGCGTTGTCCTCTACAGCCTTCCGTTTTAGAATTGCTTCTGCGGATCGGAGGTCCTTTCCATCAACACTGGCAACAAGACAGAGCACTGTCCTTGTATTCAGCTGTAGCTCAGCAAATGGCTTTGGAAGGACTGGCTGCCAACGTACTTGGTTGATACTGAGATTTGTCTCCCACTCTGGTTTGTAACGTAAGGCCACCTCTAGGAAAACAGCCCAAGAGATGTGGAACACCCATATCTGAAGTGTCCGGCATTTGCATGGCTTGCGCATTGCAGGCGCGGCTGAGGGGTGAAGCTACGTACAAAGTCAGAGCGGGCAAATCATGCTGGAACGTGAGACAGGCCGTGGACGTGCTTGCACTGCTGATCGCAGCCTGGGCCGGAAGCTCACTGCGGGAAAGCCTTTGGTACCAGGACGAACTAGGTGGCGAGTCGCTGTTGCTTGTCTTGTGCAACCAGCTACTCATCACCATCCGCAACCATCACTGCGGGTTGAAAGCATTTCACTTGCTTCTCTGTAGAAGCGTGTGTAAGTGCATTTCTCATTGGTGGGAGAGCTGCGTTCCGCATGCACATCGTACTCGTCCGTTCCTAGTGCAGTAACCAGCCGCTACAGCGTGGCAACGCATCGTTACAAGTAGTGGGTTCAACCTTCCTAGCACCTTACTACTTATCTGCGGGAGTTGAATTCGTCCGAGTGTTGGCAGGAATCCAGAGATGCAACTAAGTAAGGCTTGGCGCCAACTCTTTCTGCTCGCTTGTGCTGCTAGCCCTTCAAGCCTGCCGCGTCCTCAGACAGTTTCTGTTGTTCAAAATCTTTCGTGCCCCCCCCGACTCAGATTGGTGCAGTGAGGTCTTACCGATCAGTGCTTTGCGTCAAAGCAGTCCTTGGCAGTATTGGCAATAGCGCAGCTGACGGGACAGCAGCCCTGCCCCTGGCTGGCAGCTTTTGAGCACGAGCGCCACGGTCGCCTTTCCCGGCGCAGGTCGTTGGATCGGCCTCTCGCTGGAGGGATGCTATCCAGAAGGCACTAAAGGCCAGGGTGGTCTCTAAAGTGCCGTGGATCCTTTTGTCGAAGCGGCAGTTTCGTGCCCGCCAGTCTTGAGACTTGAGCACATGTGACAGGCTGCAGCTGTGCTTCTGCAAAGTCTACAGCGTGGTGAAGGAGAAACCAATCAGACATGCCCAGCATTCGCTCAGCTCACGGAATGGCGTCTCCTAGTGTCAACATGCAGAGAGCGCGGCCGTGGACGCATACTGCCAATCAGGATTCCAAGAGACGGATGCCAAGCTTGCAGCTTTTGAGAATGAGGCGCTTGGTCCGTCGTCCGTGCGCTGCATCCCTTCTCAGCTTGAGACTCGTCTTGTCAAAGGATGCAAGCCGAGCGACTTCCAGTTTGACGAAACCTGTGCCAGGCCATGTGAATTCTGAATTGGCATTCTGCCTTGATTCACTTCACCATGCTCTGCCGCGTCTGCTCTTGGCCGGTCTAGTTGACCATGGGATTTGAGGCGCGCTGGCGCAGGAGCAAGAGTCAGGGCCGCACCCTCGGCTTCGATCTTCACTTGTTTTCGTTCTCGGAAAACACGGTCGCTGCCTGCTACTCTGCACGGCACAGGCTCGGACCGCCTGCGCACACCTGTGAAAATCTGGATGCTCAAGAGTCTACGCCTGGCATCTTGACAGCCCCGTGGCGACAGAAGTTGAAGCAAGAACTTCTGGTGGTCTCTTGCGAAAGGGGTCCCATGCTCGCTGAAGGACACCAGCGTAGCCTCAGAAGCCGTCGATGATGGCCTCTTGACGGAAGAGCCCCGAGCCAAGCGGACCGACAGCACAAGTGTGGTGCTCCGAACGTGCAGCATCCTGTCGCGGATCATAGGATCCAGCGGTTGGCTGCTCAACTACTGGTACTGTAAAGAGATGCTCTCAGACTCTGGGAGGCTTCCGGTGAGCCCAGCAAGGAGCTCTTCGAGCCCCCGAAAGTGCGACAAGGCCCGTCGGAGGATGCCATGCCGAATGCTAGAACATGCTCAGGGAGAAGGGAGCACTCTCGGAGTGGGGCTCCAGAGCATCAAACGCACATTCGCCCACATCAAACATTTCTTTCAGATGTCACCGAGCAGAGCTGCAAAGATGGAGAGGACGCACATTCTGAGCAAGACTTGGAGGCCTCTCCTGCACGTGTTGTGTGTGCTCACGTAAAGCGCTTCTTGATTGTTCAGCCAGAGATAACAGGGTGAAGCAGATGATGCAGATCGGGACCAGTCATCCGCTCCAGGCAGGACTTTGGCCATGACAGAACGGCATGTGCCTGCTTGCGCGAACGACCCGAATCCCAAACACTAGTCTTCATGTCAAACGACAGGTTGCAAGATGTCTGTGTTTGTCACATCAATCCCGAGGACTGACCCTCACAGACTCAGTCCCTCCCCAATTGTCGCTGGCTTCGAGCAGGTCGAGTAGTACTCGAGTGATGACCTTTTCGGCATCCGCGTTTGATTTCGAGATGTGTGCCTTCTCAGCTTGCTGGCACAGGCTTCCAGAATGATTTCGGCGCGAGCGTCCAACAGGAGCACGAGCCTGCCATGTGCTGAGCTGCGTGCGGGTTGCCCAGATCTGTTGTCCCTCCGCAGCTGAGTTTCGCTGCTTTGCAAGGCTTCGCCCTCTGAAAGAGACAGTCGAGAGGCAGACGTGGTCAATACGACGGCTGTCCTGGAAGAGAAGTGCCTGGAGACACTCTCAGAAACAGCAAGCTCGGCGGCGACACAAGACCAATGTCGGCAAGAGCAAAGCTGCACGGTAACAAGTCCTCACACGGCTGATCCGACTGAGATCGCATTGGAAAGCCCGGTGGCGGATGCGGCTGTAGAGCAGAGCTTCGAAAGCCCCATCATCGCAGAATACACACGAGAGAACTCGCAGAGCGACCGCCCTGAGCTTGAGCAAACAGAAGGGGCGGACGAGTCCAAGGGCAAGTCCGCAGAGGCTACCTCCGCAGAGGCCACCCGGGGGGCCGGAAGGAATGTACCCTTTGGCGGTCTTGGGGCTTCTTTGAGGCCTCTTGGCGACCAAGTTTGCGAGCAGTCGCATCGTCCCCAGAAAGTGCCAAGATGCTGCTTCTTGCGAGTTTCACAGAGCTCACAGTCCGCAGACGAACGCTCAAGGTTAGTCGCAAGGCGGAACAGGCAACGGCAGACGACTTCGAAGCCACGGAGGTCGAAGGCGACAGCCACTCGCTGTCGGAGCACGCTCAGGCTCGGCCGTGACGACTCAAAAAGGGAGACCCGAGACTCGTAAGAGTGGCAGGCGCGGATTTGGTGCCGTCGTGATCGCGGCTTGGATGGAAACACTTCGGATTCGATGCAGAGCAGTTCCAGCCGTGGCAAGCCGCGAAGAAGCATTCTTCTTGCATTTGCAGTGCCGAGGGCCGAGGGCCCGTGTATTGCAGACGATCTTAAAGCAAGACTCAGGCCTCGAAGAGCTTTCTACAAAGCACGACAAGTGCAAGAAGCTTGACGGTGATCTTTGGGCATGCATAGTTTGTACATAGACTGAAAGCCAGGCGGGGAGAAAGGTCATTAGTCAACATAAGAGATAATGTGAAAAAAAGATGGGTCTGGACTGCACTTGATCTCTGCCTTCGTGTCCACAGCTTTCAATGTTCAGCGCGGACAAGACAAAGCTGCTGCGGGCCGCTTCAGTACGTTTGCAATTTGTGGAAAATCTACCTTGCATGAGAAGAGTTTAGACGGATTCAGACGGATGCGCCGGACATGTCTGCATGAAAGGAGTATCCCACAAGCTCAATGTTTCCAGAACTTTACGGGCTGCGGGCTTAAGTGTGAGATAGAAGCACTAGTGAACTGCTGTGAGCCATTGTTTATTGAACCCATGCTGTTGCATGTTCCAGTTTTGGGTGAGTAGCTACTATGCCAGCTGCTGGCATGGAGGCCTCCGAAGTATGGTCGATCGGCAGTATCGACCCCATGGTCGAAGAACTGAACCCCATCAGGTCTGCTGAGTCTCGATGGCTGCAGGCTTGTTTCTATATTGCAGGCTTCGCGACACTTCTTGGCTGGCAAATCATATTGATTCTCGGAAGCATCTCATTACGTAGCCTTGATGTATCAATACTGCACTACTTTCTGGCACGGTGTGGTCAGGCAGTTTCGGGGCCCGGATAACCGAGGAGCTTTACACATAGCTTCGACTGCACCCTTTTCCGTGGCAAGCGCTTCGCTGGAGCTGGATGGGCATTCTGGTGCTCGATGGGATACTCGCTGACTGTGAACATTACCCAGCTGGTGCTCACAAGTCGCACCGTGGTCTCTCGAATTCCTTTCACCCTGCGATGGAACGTCGCCGCAGTGTGCTCCGCCCTGTCACTGATCGGCCTCATGCTTTGCCATCTCTACACCACTCCGGACTCTCTGGAGATGGGCCCCTCGCGGCAGTTTGCTCATGCTGGCTCGCTTGGCCTGTGAAGCCTATGCACTTAGGTTTTGCCCTGGCGGTGGCTTGTGTTTCGCCGCTCGAGCTGGGAAAGGGTTGAGGCTTAAAGGGGGTGAGGCAGCGGGACGCTCGCGACGGGCTCGACCTGAGGCTCACAGGCGCGGCTTCGGGGATCTGGCAAGCCTGCGCATTCGGCTTGGCCGGATGCCTCGCTCCATCATATGCCCAGGCCGTCATGTTCGGACAGGGCCTGAGTGGGGTGCCTCTCGGCCGAAAGACCGAAAGATTGCACTGTGAAGGGAGTAGCCTAGTAGCTCTCCCTCCTCCCTGGCGATCACGCTGCAGGTTCTCCAGCATTGTTGGTGCTGCAGTCAGCTCTTCAAGGCTTGGCCTAATTTTCAGCTTCACCTTCGCCGCGGTCTTCGAGCTGCTGGGCATCCCCGTTCTCTATGCGATGAATCGAAATCCGTGCCTTGGCCTCTTGCGTGGCTCTTTCGCGCCCTGCCTCCAACAAGTAAACAAGTAAAGCCCAGGATTGTGCAGGAAGCTGGAGCCTTGAAGCCCGCGACGGTGGAGAACCAGGCCACGAGTGACGAGTCCTGCCGAGGTCGGATTGTTTCGAAGTTTCTTGGAGGTGACACCCTCTAGCAGCCCCGTGCTGACCCGTGCGCGCTCCTCACGCGAGATCCTGGTCCAGAATGCCTGGCCACAGGAGCAGCCGGGCAGTTGGACGCACCGCTAAAATTGTGCCACGGGCCTTCATCTGCTGCGCAGCATCAAGCGACCAACGAGAGGCCCTGACAGTGGCTGCCGTCTTCACTGTCAGCTTCACCGTCTTCCCAGGCACCTTCTGCGGGATGGAAAGATCCACTCTTGCTTTCGGGAGTGTTTCGAAAACTACTGCCTGCTTCACTTTGAGGCGTCACATCTCGGCTATCGCCTGGCAGTCGGGTGCCACTGCTCATTTCGCTTTTTCAAATCATGGACTTCCTTGGCCGTTTCGCTCCGAAATGCTCGGTGCCATGCCGAAATTCATTATTCAATTCAGAAGTCAGGTGTCAAGCAAGGGCTGCAGCATGGATCAGGGCAGCTGTTCTTAGGTGCTTCGCATCGATGAAGGGCCCGTGGTCTCTGGACTGGCCGCTCTGCGAATCCTTTTTGTGCCACTCTTCATCGCCATGCAACGCGAAAGCGAGCAGACTTGGGCTCACAATGGTGTTTTGCAGGTTGCAGTGATGGCAACTCGCCAGAATTGGCAGCATTCCTAGGGTTAGCCTATGTTTGCCTCTGAGTCTACCGATCTCCAAGGTTGCTTTTGCCTTTTCCAATGGCTATGTCAGGGCCTCAGCCGAAGGCACAAGAGAAAGAGAGACATCGATCGCCGTCGAAGCCTTGTCCCCGGCCGCGCCTTCGCTATGCCTTCGCGCCGAGGTGTCCACATTGTCCATGATGCTTGGACCAGCGCAACGCGGCGTTTCTGCTGATGAACGAGAGCCCGTTGGTACGATGATGCTTCTCAGCAGCAGAGCTGTCATGGCGCTCCGCATGCTCTCGATTGCTGTCACTCAACGAGTTAACTCAGGTCTTTGGCGTTAGTCTTCGGAATTTGGCTTGGAAGCTTACTGGGCATTGTCACTCAAGTCGGCATGCAGGAGGTCAACACGTGCTGATCGTTGAACTCGGAGGCGGAAAAAGCGCAAAAGATCCTTCGTAGAAAAGGAGTCTGACCTGCAAATGCCAGAAGTCTGATACCCGGAACCCTTCACTTCGAGTGTAAACCAAGCAACCCGGCCGAAGCCCCTCCCCTCCCCCCTGTTCCTCCCCTACCCTCAGGCCTGCCCCCTCCCCCCTTGTTTGCGTAAACCTCTAAAGGGGTAGCTCTAACAGGTACCTACAGCAATGGCTGCATGCTCATACATATACATTCCGCTGCCCATTGGCTCACAGTGGTTTTACCATATTGAGACAAGACAAGCTCTCCTTGCGTAGCAAGACAAAACAACTACTGTCTGTGTGCAGGGCGCTGCCCTTTGATCCTTAGGGAATAACTGGTCATACACCTCCTCACAAGGAGTATCCCTTGGGGGTGTATCGGCACAGTTTTCTGGTAGCGGAGCCCGGAAAGGGCCGCCCGCCTCCCAAAGTCCGCTACAGCGGTCGGCCTCGCCGAACGCTTAACCAAGCGGATAAGAGGCAGCACAATGTCGAGCTCGCATAGCGAAGCCGACTACAGTTCCCAATCCTCCGGGGGATATGAGAACGAAGAGACCTCCCAAGGTCCAGCCACTTATGTCGCACAGTCATATGCAACATCTGACCGCATGCTTGCATCATTAGGCATAACGCCCAAGATCGCGCCTGCCTATGATGGCACCACCTCGTTGTTTGAGTATGAACAGTTGATTGACGACTGGTGCGACATAACAACGCTGGATGACACCAAAAGAGGTCCGTCTCTCAAGACGAGGCTCTCCGGATTGGCCGCAGTACAAAAAGAATCACTTAACCGAGAAAAGCTTGCAGCCCCAGATGGAGTAGATTACTTCAAGAAGAAGATGCGTCCATTTTTCGTGAAAGGAGAACAGTACGTTTTCCTGTGGCGTTTCCTCGGCCTATTCAAGGCATGGAAGGGCAACCAAGCCTTTGTGACTTGGATTGCTAAGTTTGAGATCGTGCTACAGCGCGTGAAAAACTCATGGATGGATCTCTTACCAGAGATAGCTCTGGAAGATGCCCATCCAGATTTCATGCAAGCTGTGCAGGCAGACCAAACCTTCTTGCGCCTACAGGATGCAACCGAGAGAGACACATACGCCGCACGTTTCTTCGAAACATGGAACAAGGAACGCCTTGACAATCATCGAAGAGCGTTTCCTCTGAACGATAATCTCCTAGCTCTCCTCTTCCTAGTGCAGTCCGACCTAAATGAGATGCAACGTGAGAGGTTGGTAACAGCATTGACCAACCAAGGTCACCGAATTGAGACCTACACGTACCCTGTGGTACGGCAGACCATGTTCGATCAGTTCTCAACGACCAGAACTGGTCTGCAGGATCCCAACATTCGGCACTCTTCTCACAAGAAGGACCGCCATGGAAGGAGAGACCAACGCCGCAAACGCGGAGGTCGAAACTTCCTCATCCTCGATCAGGGTGAATACGATGGAGTCGATGGATTCTGGCTCCAAGACGAAGACACCCTTGAGGAAGGCTTTCTTGCCGCCGAGGATGAAGAAGCTGTCTTCTGGACAGTTGATGACCATGAGGCCTTCGTTGCAAGGAGATTCAAAAAGGGAAGAAGACCAAGAATGCGTCCCGGATCACCGGGAAGAGCAAAGGGTGGCAAGCGAAAAGGACGTGGCCGTTTTAGGTCATACCGCGGAAAAGGGAGAGCCAACCAGGCAGAACATGATCCAACTGATTCCAGCTATTTCGGTAAAGGTAAAGGAAAGGAAAAAGGAAAAGGTGGAAAAGGCAAAGGAAAAGGAAAGGACAAAGGAGATAAAGGAAGCTCCTTCAAGGGTACAAAAGCAAAAGGCAAAGGTAAGGATACAGCTAAGTCTGCCTCCTTACAAGGAGACCAAACTGGATCTCCACAGGCCTATGAGAGTTCCACCGCACCGAGCTGGGATTCATGGTATGAGGACAGTTATTATACTGACTCCAGTTGGAATTATGCCGCTTATGACGATCAAACGTCTTATACATACTATGCATCACAAGCCTCACGAAGAAAAACACGGAGAAAGAAGAGAAGAAATCAAGCAGGATCATCAGGTAGAGGCACAGATCCGAGCGCGCACCAAGAACCCGTGTTCAACTCATCAGTGAGTTACGTGCCCCAGGTCTTTGAACCATCCGAGGGGCAAGGTGTTGAAACTGCAACAGCGGTGTTTCCGTTGCAGCACACCGTCCTATCTGCTCTCACAGAGCGGATCAATCTTGATAAGAACCCTACCTTTGTCATACTTGACTCAGGTTGTACTAGGGCTATGGGTTCCCGCTATGCGGTGAACAGGCTTATCAAGGCCGTGAAGCAACGTGCCCCAGGCATGATTGATTTC